CTGAAGATGTTGTCCATAACGACACTGAAAGCTAAACAATTGAGACGTCTAGAAAAAAGATCTCAACACCAGCAAAACCATCTGCCTGAGCTTCAAATCTTCTCTATAATTCTAGTAATATATATTCATAAAATAATCACATGAAATAAATGTATCATAGCTTAGTGATTTTCATTATTACCTTCCAGATTATTTTCAATTTAAGTGTGGTGTGCCTTTGACTTCATTTCGCTGAAGAAGTAGAGTAGGAAAAAAGTTAAAGTGTATTGATTATGCTTAGCAGCTGTAAATTATTATACATTCTATTTAAATTTTATTGAGTTATGGATAAAGAAAACCGGCCACTATATGATAAGCAGCTAAATTTTAAATATATTTTCAGCAGATCTCTTAGTGTATTATAGTGTAAAATAGGGAAACCGTTTCAGATTAATGTGTCGTTTATAAAACTGTATGAACTTATATGGGAAAATCTGTAGTTTTTTTAATTTTAAAAGACATGCAGACTATTTTTGGATAGGGTGTATAAATATCAAGCAGTTGAAGAAGTTTACAAGAATCCCCGAACATTCGTGTCTAGTAGGTGTCGATGCATTGTCGAGAGGATTGATGCTCTCTAGCTGAATCGAAACCGAGTCGACCATTTTCATAGCATAAAATATTACTGCCGATCTATTTGGGGAGTAACCGATCTCTCATAGGACTGAGATGTCTACAGTTTACTAAACAACTACAGATATACCTTGCTGGCGAGTGTCAACTAGCATGAAACTTTATTCCGATGTTTCCTGTTCACTATCTCCAACTGCGTAACATATCAAAATTATTGACGAGGCGTTGAGTTATTTCAACTAGTGGCCAAACTGCAATTTAATCAACGGAATTATGTTAGGACTAGAGGAAATGACAGAGATGACAGTTTTTACTACTCAGTGAACTATTATATCACCCACTTATAGAACATTCAACTGTTTGTCTCAGTTTACCAATGATATCTGATATCTTTCAATCTATTATCACATTAGAAATCGATACTAAAATAAAAGTCATGGAAATTGAGCAAACACTATATAGATATATGAAAATATATCAAAACTACATCTCAAGTACTAGTAAGCTGCAAAAATAATACAGAACCAAATCAAGGGTATAAAGACAGCAGGATGACCCTTCGTTTGGCAATACATAAAATGCATTTTTATCCAATTTTACTTATCATTAGCAAAACAAATTTACTCAAATAAAAGTTAGAATTTTCATGTCAACTGAAGTCTGATGTGACTCTCGATAACTTCATCCTGTCATCGAAAGCTTCTAATTTCGGTAAGTTTTACACAAAATAAGTTTATATATAAGTGACTGAATCATCAGGCTGATAGCATGACACGGCATATGTGAGAAAATATATGTATCATGTAAGCATTGAAGTAAATACAAGTATACACCATGAGCTTACAAATTAGTAGGTAATGTATGTAAACACTCACTGGCTGAAGGACGCTCTGAGGGGAGTGATATATATATATATATATATATATATATATATATATATATATATATATATATATATATATATATATATATATATATATATATATATATATAACTTATATTGTTATACTAAATTGAAAATAAGAGTTTAACTTATTATTTATGTTTATATTGTGCATAAATGCGTTTATCATTAAAACATATTTCAAATTTAAAGAAAAAAGATAGTTAATTTATTAGATGAAAATAAAATTAAATCGACAAACGTTTAAATATAACAAACAAACAAGTAATAACATTAATCATATGCAATTTCAGAGTAACGCTGACATTGAAAATTGATCAGATTAAAATTATTTTTTTACATAATTAATATAGTATCTGATTAGTAGAAATTAGTTCCTAATTTGTTTGTTCTCCATTTCACTGTAAATTAAATAAATCAATGTATAATGGATGATGTTTTATTTTCTTTAAAGGAAACAATTAGTTGAATTTTTTTTAATGCTCTAAAAAATTTCATTTAAAAAAAAAAAAGAAAATAAGTAAGCACATTTATCATCAAATCAACAGACCTTAGTTTGTTTTCTCTAAATTTTACCAATTAAAAAAACATTATAAATAATATTAGATTGTGTATAAAATAGTAATGATAATATCATTGACTATGAAACTTAGATGAAGTCCTACTACAAACATAGATTTCCTCGAAGATTAGAAATACTAAGAGCTGACTAGTGAAAACTTGCATGTTACTTAAACCAAGAGTTTTCTTAATTGTTCACAAATGTGTGCGATACATTTAAAATAGGGTTTTAGCTGTGAATAGCTGTTGTTTTTTTACTAATGAACACATAACTACGTGATACTTTTCAGTCATATGAGAATAAAGTTGGTTGAAAATCATTCGTCTAAAATTCAAATATACTGATAGCTTAACAAGTGGAAACAAGTGTCAGAGATGCAAAACATTGAATGAATGTAAAACTATAAACTTGACGGATGGGTTAGCGAACAAAATGATATGACTATATATACAAATTTAAGATTAGAAGTCGAGTAAAAATGTTTAATTATATGATGATCACTTATCTGAAATGTCCTAGTCATACCAACACTTTGTTACTTATTGAACTTCTATCTTGAGAGTAAAATTTATGATCGAACAACAGTTTGTTAACACTACATTCTTTGATTTTGATTTGTGTTAAATAACACATATTCTTAAAATACTAGTATTGTGTACTAATTACGGTTACAAGAATTTATATTAAAAACGTTATATGAAGTTGACTAGTCATTTTGTTACACTGCTAACGTCTTTCGTAGACTATGAGATCATTGAGTGAGCGTCTCTTTATATATTGATTTTAGCCGCAAATTCACTCGATTTCTCGTGTTTTTATTTTAAAAGTTAGTCAGTTGTTTGTCATTCTGAATAAAATGATATCTACGTCTTGGATATGGTTGATAGCCAATGACCAAATTATTACTTACTTACTTACACCTGTTACTCCCAATAGAGCATAGGCCGCCGACCATCATTCTCCAACCCACACTATCCTAGGCCTTCTTTTCTAGTTTTTACATCTTTCAAATCTCCGTCAAGTGTGATTCGATTAGTGCATGCTGTGTTGTATCGGAGAATTTTGCTTCTTCCTTGTGTATGTTGAGACCTACTGCTGCTGAGGCTGCTGCTACACTGGTCGTCTTCTCCTGCATTTGTTGTTGCGTTTGCGATAGGACGACCAGATCATCTGCAAAGTCTAGTTCGTTTTGAACACTACTCAAATATCTCGAATATCTGAGTAGACTGATCCGATTTTAGTCCTGAATATCAGCAACAGTGTCTTGAACAAACGTCTTACACTTATATGAATCAAATTCCATTTTAAATCAGTGTCTCGTAGTAAATTCAAATTTGTTACCGAAGTACTGCTAACCACTGTCTGTAATCATGATAAAAAAATATGTCTTACGAAAATTTTATGGTTTTTCCGTTTTGGCCGAAAATATTGAATATTTATCTATTTAGTATCCCAACAATAGTTTCCACTAAAACTACTATCTTTAATTACATCACCACAGGTGTTCGGTAATCATTTTCTAAGCTTATATGATTGATATTATTTGAATTATTATCTTGTCTTATTCATGATTAAAGTCTGATTTAGATATTTAGAAAAAATCAAAAACGTTTACTTTTTGTTAGACGTTTAATTACAGTTGATTTCATTTAAATCAAGATACAATGATTAACATTTAATGTTATATAATAATTACTAAGTTGGATTAGTTGAAATATTTGGAATAATTTGAGATAACCTAGCATTAATAACTGTAAGCATCTTATAGAATGGATAAAATCAGCTAGCAATCAACACTACGTTTCGTTCTAGTTTGATTGAAGTAAGCATTATGTTATGAAGTACATACTGAAATTGATTAATAATGAAGTTACTGAAAACAGCTGTTCATTGAAGCATTCCTTGTTTCTGAAAATCTTTATTTTCAACTGCATTCAGCCTATTTATTCACAATTTTTGAAATTTCAAAATAAATAGTGCTGAAATACTGACTAGCAATCAGTTTCAAAATCTGCTAAGTCGATGGAATGATGCTCTAGTTTTGTTTTTCTATCAATCGTGAACTTTACATTCATACAAAATGGTCTGTTGACGATTTCATAATAATAATAAGGATGTTTTTTATTCAGTATAGACCAACTAAGCACATAACTTCTTAGTGTAACGGTATTTGTTAAAGAGTAGTTGTTCTCCAAAGAGATGTTAGCAAGCTGATGATATTCATTGCGGTTTAAATACATTTGCAGGTAAGTATCTGAACAAATTTGAGTTGTACCACAATAACTACATGGAATCCAATTTAGTATGCTGCAAAAATGTGGCAGTGACTTATTTTTTCAACTAATGGTCCTCGATGCTTTTCATATCTCGATCAAACGACTTAAATAAATACTGAAGGAAAAAAGATCGTAACCTAAACCTTTCAATGAAGCAAGGTTGGAGCTTGTTTAACGAGAGTCTTCTTGAGGAGTTACACACATAAATGTCTTTGAGCGCGTTCAGCGTTTTCAGCTTCAAAAATTAATAGAAAGTTTTCATGGGAAGATATCAGTAAAATATTTTTTGAAAATGATTTACTTGCTTCACAGAAATTCAAGGTTTTCAAAAGGGAGTTTTCTTTTGCATTTCATTCACAAAAATACCTTAGTTTCAATTAATAACTGATCACTTACTCACTTAGTTATCTAATACCATCAAGTTTTTTAAAGTCTCATCTTTTCAACAGTTTGCAGAAAATTCGTGTTCAAATTTAACTTCAACTCAAGCACAACATTACTTGTCAGTCAAAGTAGTTTTCGTATTTTATTAACATTTTAATTTTCCCTGTAAAAAACCTTTAGTATTAACAAATTTTATTACTTTGTTTCTATTTGAACTCCCTAACTATAATTGATTTCAATCGTTTATTTGTTTATCTTACAGATATAACATCACAACCGTATTTGATTCGGTTCCAACTGGCAATCTAGCACCAGATAGTAAGTAAAAGTGATTTTCTGTATTATTTTATAACTTCATAGCAAATAGAGCGACAAAAATGTCTTATCCGGTGTTAAAATTGATTAAAAAAGGATTATCTTATAGGGATGAACCAAAAAACAACTGTTACACATTTTAACAAATTGCCAGTCAGTCAAGAAACAGCTCTAGTAAATCAGCTGTTTTTTTTATAAAATGGACAGTAACACTATAAAAGATAGACAGACTTTGCATAAATAATCAATCCACTAGAACTTCTAACAGGTTGTTTTATCTTTAATTAAGAAAAACATAGATATATAAGTTGATTTATACAAATATAGACTATCTGTCTTCTGAAACATTTAAAAGGATGCAGATGGATTTCTACGAGTTCACACATTGTTACGACTACAGATTTAAGATTATGTGTTAAGAATTAAGTATTTAGGGCCTTTATTTAATAAAAGGGTTAGTTTGCATGTTTTATGCAATTTGTTCAGGATGAATTGACTATATGATGAATATAATGTTATCGATTGTATTCTATGATAGTAAAAAGTAATTCTGTCATCATTTTACAAATTCTGACAAGCAAACAAAAGTATATCAACTAGTTGTTTGATGTAATATTAGATAAAAGTCATTTATCTCAGACTTTATAGGGAAAACGAGCAAATCATCTCGATTTTGACTGGTTCATCTCGATACTATAATTCTATCAAAGAAAAAAAGGAAAAAAAGTATAATTAAAATGATTTAATTAAGATGTGCTATCTAGATTTAAGTAGTATTGAAAAACAAAACAAAAAAATAATAATCATAAGAAATATTACTTTATATAGTGAATAATAAATCAATGTATATCAGCATATATTCTTAAATCATTTAAAATATCGATTTATTTATAGGCATTTTTAATCAATTACTTGAATTTGATTGGTTGATTTTTTTTATTGGATATTATAATATGAACATAATATAATCGTAATTACTATTACTTCTTTAAAAGTACAATTTTAAAACAGTAAAACAATATGATTAGGGTGAATATATTTTCTAAAAAAAAATAAATAAATAAAATACAAAGTTCATGAAAAAAGAATCAATGATATTCTGTTTTAGAAAAAGAAAAAGGAAAAAAGAAGACATTATTTTATTATGATTTATATCTACGAAATATCCATTTAGAACTTTCAATATAAATATTATTATTATTATTTGTATTTACATGAATTCATAAGTCATTCAAGGAGATATATGTAAACAACTAAGGTTTATCATAAAAAGGATTATTAATTATTGTTTGATTAAAATAAATGTTAGTTATTTGCATAACTGATTAGGCGAATAAATGTATTAATATGGATTCCTTTCTTTTTTTTTACAAAAAATGAGGCGAAATAAAATGAACTAGAGAAAAAAATAACAAAGAGGAAAGGAAAAAACGATAATTTTGCTCCCTAGCTATCTATAACATGTTTACTGTATATATACATATATGAGCGAACAAATTTAAGTTCATTTATTTGTATTTCACATTGATTTTCAACTAGGAAACTGTTTGCTGAATAAATAAAAAGAGAATATAATAATAAACAATATCGAAAGCACGAAAAAATAATGAATTTTTGTTTTTTTTAAAAAAAATTAAGAATGTTAGTAATCAAATCAAGTCACGCAAACACATTGAGTTATTTCTGTGACTTTTAATACAAAAACAAAGAGTAGAATAAAAATGTTTAAAATTATTTCATTCATTAATTCACATACATGTTTACTTTTAAAAATAAAATCAGATAAGTTAAAATTGAATGAATAAAAGCGTATTATTTAAATTGCATAAATTTGTGTTCGCCTTAATGATCTGTAAAGTGATTTTACTAAAAAAAAGCCGGAATGTTTTTTTTTGCATAACTAAAAAAATTATCGGAATGGGTTTTGTGGAGAGTTTTAGAAATATCACAGGTTGAAATCATGAGTCGATTGAAGCTAGACCACGATGGAAAACCTGGAAGCACTGGATGTTACCAGTGGAGTTCAACCAGGTCTGTTGTGAGATAGTAACTCACTGAAAACAATGGTGTACGGTGGCGCAACTTCGTGGATTGGTTGAAGTTAGACATTAACACCGTTGGATGCCGGCTCAGTGGTCTAGTGGTTAAGTGCTCGCGCGCGAAGCCAATAGGTCCTTGGTTCGAGTCCCGCGTGATGCGGGATCGTGGATGCGCACTGCTGAGGAGTCCCATAATAGGACGAAACGACCGTCCAGTGCTTCCAGGTTTTCCATGGTGGTCTAGCTTCAATCGACTCATGATTTCAACCTGTGAAATTTTAAAAAAATTGGTTTCTATGGTTAAATATGAAAAAATCAATAGTGAGCACCCTTAACTGTATCAGAGACCAGATTCAAAATCTCTACATTCTGGTTCATATTATGAACCTGAAACGATTTGAGGCATTATGTGATTATCGTTTATTAATATCGACGGTGCAAGTGTTAAATACGGTATGACTAAACTTCTTTAGTCATAAGATCTCATTAAAAATTCATCAGAATTTGATTTCTTAACTTTTATGTAATTCTCTTCAAAACATGTCGTTTCTAATTTATATTGACAAAGAATGATGAGGTAAAGAAAAAAGGGATCACTCAGTTAGAACAGGACTAGTTAGAAGTAATGATATACATTGCTTTCTTTCCATTTACTGCACGTTGCTATGAAGAAAGTTTTAAATACATTTTCAGGCTCTTATTTAGTGTTATTGAAATAAACTGATCTAAGTCAGACAAACATTGAAAATCTAAAAACACTTTACGTGTTATGTCTTATAGTCCGTTGAATATCATGTGACAAAATCGTCAATAAGATTATCACTTTCTATGACCTTGTCTTCGTGCTTCACCAATCACACGTCAACTAGCACCAGAAGCCTTGACTTAACTTTGAGTCCGTAGTGATCCTGAAAATAGTAATTTTTTGCGTAGCTCAACCTGCCCAGTTCAGAAAATAAATATCAGCCTCCGTTGTGTAAATCATACATTTCAGACATACGTGGTTCATATACAAGTAGACCAGACCGCATCACACAATAAAATTAAAAATACTGATTATACATGGTTGAGCCAAAAGTGGCTGTGAGTACAAGAGACTGTAATTAACAGATTGAAAATACATTGAGAATAGTGTATCATATAATAGTAGTCCATAGGTCAAGTGATAGCCCATGATAATAAAAATATGAAGATATATGTAATCTAGTTGCTTAATTATTATCCAATGAGAATATATGTAATGATAGTCACCATTCATTCGCCCTTCATTCAGATACAACAGGATGGCCATAGGTTGGTTGAAGTTAGTCATTAAACCATTAGATAGCGACTCAGTGGTCTAGATTTTAAGCGCTTCCGCCAAACCGAAGTTCCTGGCCTCGAGTCTCGCGTGCGGAATCGCAGATGCGCGCTGCTGGAGAGCTTAATACTAAGACAAAGAGGCAGTCCAATGCTTTTATGTTTTTAATGGTTTTTTTACTTTAATTCGGCATTTCAATAAAATTTAACAATATCCACTACTCATACAGATTGTTATTATCATTATTATCATCAATAATGTGATTGGTGTAAGAGTGTCTTTTTAATAACTACCACCAATTTAATGGCTTCTTCAATCCTAATTATAACAGTTAACATATTTTTTCTGTACATCATGGTCTCTATCTTCCGCAATTATTTCTTTGATCTATAAATTGGAGTTTTATGCATGTGAAAAGTAATTAAATTTATGATTCATTAATAAATCAAACGACTTTTTACTAGTTACACAAGGAATTAAATTTACAAAATGTATCATTTGTTTATTTAGATCAGTGTGTATGCAGAAGATTTAAAGCAGACGAAATAAAAAGATAAATTCATCTGAATTGTGTTTGTCTGTTGTTCTTGCTTTGCATAAAGGAAGTTATATTACTCTAAACTGACTTTCATAGTTTGGTGTTTTACAAATTCAGTGAATCCATGACATTTGTCGTTCCTTTACACGCTATTAAAATGTTACTTAATTCAAAGAAAATTCCCAACAATAGTAAATTGCTTCTATACTATACACTGATAATAAGCGGTAGAAATATATTCACAATATATACCTCCTTCGGTTTGGACTCCCGGGCAATATTCCAGCCCTCACGTATATTGAATGACTCGTGTGGCGCATATATATTTGAAGCCTTCTTGTACAAATATGTATGTTGATGTCAGACAGTAACACCATTGGATGTCGGCTCAGTGGTCAAGTAGGTTATGCGTTCGCGCGTGAGAATAAAGGCCCTGAGTTCGATTCCTGCGAGCGGGATCATGGATGCGCACTGCTGAGGAGTCCCAAAATAGGACTAAACGGCCGTCTAGTGCTTACAGGTTTCTAACGGTGGTCTAACATCAATCGGTTCATGATCTCAATCGAAAATATGTGTGTGTTTAAATAAGTAAATATACCACCTGTATTGGGTAGCAGTAGAAGGCTGTTTAATTTTATCTTGGATTTCTTAGATGATATGCCTTAATGTTAATGTACTCGCTAAGACCAGAGTTGACTAGTTTCCGCTTAAATGTCCATGTTACCTACTGACCATTTACAGTCCTTAATAAAAATAGTCGGAAACTAAAAACCACTGGATGCCGACTCAGTGGTATAGCAGGTAAGCGTTTGTGAGGAAAATCGAAGGTCATGGGTTCATGTCCCGTGTGAGATATGGTGGATGTGCACTGCCGAAGAGTTTCGTACTGGAGCACAAACGGCCATCCAGTGCTTCCAAGTTTTCAACGATGTTCAGTCTTAGACTGACTCATGAATATAACTTTAAACATACTTCAATCTCCAGAAACCCCTATTTTGATTAAAACCATTACATCATTTTTATTAAGAAAATGAATTTTTGTCTGTATGGACTAGCACTACTGTTCACCAGATATGATGATGGCCATTTCGGTATTATGTAAAACTGTAATTACGTACCCTTCGGTAGGCACAAACTATTGCGTTTATTCAGTTTAGTGTAGTCTTGCTTACAATGCTTTTATTAGCTTAGGTTGTTTCCACTTCAAAAACTAATCTAAACTTTATAAAAAAATGAAATCAATCTTCTATTTCTATCTGACAATGTAACAAAATAAATATGATGTTTTTTTTTGTAATTTTATTTCTTGGATGTATCATTGCAATCACTGATGTATGTTCATTGTAGAGAGATCTCTAAACTAGTATAAAAGAGAAATTGAGTGCTTTTTCTATTTCTTAATTGTTCAGTTTATATAAATCCATTGAAATATAAAAAAATCCAAATTAATCTTCAGAAATATCTTTTTAAATTATTTTCAAACCTCGGCCAATATAAATATATGAAGTAACGCTTTTAAATTATTCATATACTCAAGTATTTCCTGGCTTATAAATAAAAGTAGGCTAGTTAAAAATGTTAACATGTGCTTTAGTAAAATTTTTACAAAAGTGTTAGTAACTACATGATTTTTCTTAACAACTTATTAAACTATTTTTACATAAAAATAATAATTCCAATGTTCTATTGACAGCCTCTCTTTTCTCCAGTAGTCTGGTTAACAAATTCTGTACAAAAACGAAATCTTTGATTATGACCTATTTTGCTTTGAACAAGAAATTTACATGTTAATCACTTTTTCTCTTTCAAATCAATTGTTGAAATGTTCTTCTCTGTTTTTTTTTCTCCATCATTTTCTAGAAAATTGTCTTTGAAAAGTGTTTTGATTGTTAAAATTTAATTTGTTTGCATGTAGTGAATGCGTAAATACACATATTAGTATTATTTATTTGTTTTAAAAGAATGGACATGGAATAAACTAAATATTTAAGAGTACTAAGGACCAAAATAGCATGTTAGGACTTATTGATTTGACCTTGTTTTATGACAATTTATGTAAATAGTTATTTGGAGATATTTTTCGATCGGAAACTTAACTACTGATTGTTTGTTTGGTCACCTTAGTTGTTATTGAAGACGAAAACTGTTGTCTATTGTAAAATTTCTGTTTTGTATTATAGTTTAAACCTTTTTATCTTACGATCTTCAGAATGTAAAGTAATTTCACTGAGTTTATCTAGAATTATGGATTGATACTGGATCACTTTGTAAGTTTAATTAGTTTGTGAATCTTGTTGAATTTCATACATTTTCTTGACGTGTTCCGTAGTGTAAAAAATTCAGAAGACCATTTGACATGTAAAGTCTAACGTGAAATGTGCTAGGAATAGTATATCTAAAATACAGATAAATGAATGAAAAATGTTTTTTTAGTCAGTTCTCTTCAGGTTTTGCAATTATATATCAAAGTGAATTATCTGAAAAGTGGCCAATTATAAGGTTAAAACGGCTTAAAATCACAGCCAATGTATTCCAGATTATTTGTAAAATAAAATGAAATTTTCATTATTGGATTGTGAAGATTGTTTAACTTCACTGAAATCATGAACCAATCAATGTTAGACAACCAGTGTTCAGCTGAATGCCCTGGACCGCCAATCCATCTTAGTATAGAATTCTTTAGCAGTGCACGTCTACGTTCTTGCGAGTGTGGATTGAACCACTCAAACGCTCAACGTTCCGATCACCATCGAGATAAATAATATGAACCAGTGATTTTAACAATTTTATAGGTTATATTGGAATCTTAAGTTTAATGATCAAAGTGAATATGGGTAATATGTGATGAGAGACATAATAATGTAATTACAAATTATGGTAATACTTGTCCTACTAAATCTATCAGAGTAAGAATACGTAAACGGCTGAAGACAGCTGTTCGGATCAAAAAGTTGGAGGTTTGCGTTAATAAGTAATTATTTAACAATCACAATTTGATTAGTGTACATCCAACACTCCTCTATGTATCTTCACAGCCCAAGCTCATTAATGCATCTTATTATCATTATTAGCATAACGCTTGCAAACATTTCGAAGAATTTATTTAGAGCACACCCTTGTTTACCAATTCTTAGCTGATTCAGATTACGTAATTGCTGACCAAGCACTTTATGATTCGTAATTTCACTAGTGTTTTTCTCACATCATATTACCCATATTCGTTCTGATTAGTAATCTTTTCATCTAACGCACAAATTCATTCAAACTAACATTCCATTCTGGTCATCTCAACGTTCATAAATTTATTTGACAAATAATCTGGAATTTATTTTCTGTGATTTATTTATCTTATAATTGGCCACTTTTTAAATGAATTTTGATATGTAATTGTAAAACTCGAAGAGAACCGATTGAAAGAATATTCTTTGTTCATATATCTGTGCCTTCTATATGACAGGAAAATTGTAGCGAACAGGTTGTGCCATACCTGCTAATTTGTCAAACTACATGTATAATGTGTAGTATTTGTGGAATTGAGGACTATGTTCATTTTATGCTGTGTGACGAATAGACTAAATTAAGGAACAGTCATGTATCACGTATTTAGTGTAGATTGATTAGACAATTAGGTGTGTGGTATTTGGAATAACTGGACAGTCAAATCAATGTATGAATTGTTAACTTAGTTTATATGCATATACATTTAGTACAATAAATTAATAAGGATACAAATGTGCATATTTGCCTATACTTAAAAATTTGTACACGTATAAATGTTAATTATTGAATCTGTAAACAATTACAAATAACTAATAAGACTGGAATGACTTAATATGTTTGTTTAGCTTACAATCTATTTAAACACAAATAGAGATGAATGAATCAGCAACGTTATGATTATAATTTTAAGAGTAACAGAGTAACTATAAATTATCATAATTTTAATTATTGTTTGATGCAAAGATGTAGGGTGAACTATGAGATTACACAAGCAGAATTGGTTTGTAAGGTATGATATAACCACAGATTTCTTGGTATGAGAGATCTGAATTGACATAGAAAGAATTCTGATTAATAATTCAAAATAGTAAACAAATGATGCAAACATTCAAGATTTCTTGGTTCCATGGTTATTTTTGCTCAGTGACTAAATTTAACATATTTTAGGATAGCATAAATTGTACAACTTTATTAAATATTAATGAATGAGTGTCAATTTACAAAATAACAGTACATAAAAAACACTACTCCCAAATAGTTTTCGTCCAGTTTTAAGATAAAACAAAGCTGATAGCCTTATGAAATATCGTACTTACATCTTAGGCATTCCTTTGTTGCTGTTTTTTAGAATTTACAATGCTTTCATCAGAACCAAAATTTAACATTCATTAAATCCTATTATTTTTCATAGAATTTCATGAATTCAAGTTAGTAAGAATAATTCGCCGGTTGTTATTCCATGTAATTATTATACGAGTTAATTAATTAAATTAATCTAACAAAGTAATATTGTACATTGAAAACATAAAAACCTTAATTTTAACAGTAAAAAAATTGATAACTGTGAAATTTTAATAGTTGAATTCATGAATCGATCTTAGCTAGGCCACCATTGGAAACCTGAAAACATTACATAGCCGTTTCGTTCCATTATGGGACTCTTCACAGGTGGTCTAGCTTAGATCAACTCATTGATTAAACTATTAAAACTATGATCACAAATCACCATCCTGATAATTATGACGTCCATAAATTCTATTACTTTAAAGCTGTTTAGAAAATGTAGATGTAGACTTCCTGGTTGGCGACTAAGCGGTTACTGCTATTAGAGTTTAGAGATGTTGATTTATTTAGCTCGATATCGGTAATAATGCATCAGCATTCAAATTATCTTGGGTTTCAGTATTTCGTTATACATACCTTTCCACTTTACCCATTCGAACCATATTCACATTGTTAAGCCTTTTTCATTATCACTGCTACTATTTAATGTTGAAGCCTTATAATATTCATACTATTTGATCGATCTAGTCATGTTAATTTGGTATAATAAATTGAGATAACGCCTATTTATTCCGGGTCTTATGTGCATATGATTCCTTGACTGACTGAGTAACAACTAAACGTCATAATCTAAGCTTCAATAATTTTTTTTCACGCAACATTAACGTACGACGAATATTCCGTTGAAACATTTTTTTTTCATTTTATGAATGAAATCGTAGCTGAATAAAAATGCAATTATACCGCTGTTATGATTTGATAGCTTCAGGCATCATTATTTACTTACATAGATATTTTTGATACCAAGTGACATACTACCTAATATTTATTAACAAATACATAGTTTTTTTTAAATTTAAAGTATTACAAACAAATGTTGGTAATATAAATATTGAAAAGCAGAATACAATGAACAGAGTTCAGAATTCTTTACTAACCAAAAGGATTTCAATCAGAAAACATCGATTTTTCAAACCCTCATTAGGGATAAGTGACATTACACACCTAACACTAAAGGACGAATCAAAGAATGTAAATCTATTGAGAAATCACAGTAAACAATTCATTGTTTACCTAATATGATTTGATTCTATTGTGTCATATTTATATTGTTAAAGAAGAAAAGGTTTATTAAATTCTGATAAATCAAATTCTATATAGAAGGTGGCATTTGCTCAGAAGTTTTGTGATTATCACTAACTGCCTAACACTTAACTACATTCTAAAATTTAGTAAATCATGTCAACAAATTTTGTTTTGGAATTTGTTAATAAGTTTTCAACTTTTCTAGACATATAATTTGTGGCTAAATGTATATTTTGTTTTTAAATCCTTTTGAAGGTAGTGATTATAAAATAATCGCAAATGAAACACTTGAAGAATTGGAATGGTGTCTCAAACAATTGGAAAATATTCAGACAAAAAGGCCTGTCTCTGATATGGCTTTTTCAAAAGTGAGTTTGTCAGTGACAAATTATTTAACATGATTATTACCATTTAAAGTAGGCTAATTTTATCGAATATCACAATAAAATAGTTATTTAATTATTGGATTCACTTGGAAGAACATAACAGCATTATGCGACACTATTTAAGGACGCATAACAATATTTTTTATTATTAGTAGTAATTTTATAGTTCCTAATAATGCTATCACAGTGATTGAAGTCAGAGTATTTAATACGAACGTCAAGACAGTTCAACTGTACGGAGATAAAACTTGAGGAACTACTGCAACCATCATCACAAAGTACAAGTATTTATAAACAACTGTTTACATAAGATAATGAATGTCCGTTGGTCGAACACAATCAGCAACATCCTATTAATATGGGAGGAAACAAACCAGGTTCTAGCTGACGAGGAAGTTAGGAAAAGACGTTGAAGGTGGATAGAACATATATTTAGGAAATCACCAAACTGCATCATGAAGCAAGTGCTAACTTGGAATCCTGAAAAAAACGAAAAAGAGGAAGGCCAAAGAACACACTGCGTCGGGTTTTGGAAGTAGATATGAAAACGACGAATAGCGGCTGAAAATGACTGGCCAGGACAGAGTTGAATGGAGAGTGTTAGTGAGCTCCACGTGCTCCTCCACGAGGGGTAACAGGCGTAAGTAGTGAAGTAAGTGTTTGAAATCAGTTAATGGGTCGTTACATAAATTTACGAACAGCACAGAAAACATTTTAAGCGAACAAAAACAAAAAACGAATGTCGCTTGTCGAAATACATAACCCACAGTAACTATAATCAATAAATGTCTCTAACTTTCATTTTTACCTAATAATTTTAAACTTACAGTTCTATTTTTTTTATTTGTTTGTTTGTTTTACAAAGTTTAAACGTCTACTCAACAAAGAGTTGAATAGTTTTGGTGAAGCTGATAAGTCTAGACATCAAATATCTGCCTATATTTGTGAAACATTTTTAGGTAAGCGACTTATTATCAATAACCATTAACGACTGTTTATAAAACCGATCGAGCAGTTGTTCATTTTAATTGTATTTTTTTAAGTAGTGATATTTTGGTCAGCACTAATGAATTTACGTTGATTTTGAAGAGATATTTGAATAAATCTTTCAATAATGTATTCGTCCAAAAATGATTATAGTTGTAGAACTCTAGATTTGTTCCAGTGTTAACTGCTCAGTTAAACGTAAGTGCATTCCAACGATTATATCTACCTTGAAAATCAAACTCAGCAGTCTCTGCTTCAAACACCTATCAAGTCTCTAAAACTGCGAAAATGTATTCAGCGGCATATGATTTGCCTGTAATATTGACAATGCATATTAAAACATTCATTTAATAAGCCTGGTCACTTTAGTTAAAAAATATCAGCAACTCAAACAATACCAACCGTCTTACAAATCTGTGGCTGGAAAAACAAGGTAGTTAGTAGATAACAGTACTTATATAATTATCCATAAGTAATTTGAAAATATATGGAAGTTTTAAATCTTTAAAGAAATATAAGTATCAAGAATTTTCTGATATTGCTAAATGCTAGACGTCAGTTAGAATGTCTATATTCCTACAAGTGGCTTACATCTACATAAAATTAACAAAATGTATCATTTTTTATTGAAATTATGAAAGCGACATTATTAACGTTTCAAATTTTTCTACCAGTCACTATTTCATACGGTTTGTTTCTTTTGTAAAGTATCTACGACACGATTTACATATAAATATGCAGACGTATATATATATATATATATGTTTGCGGCAAAAGCTCATGCTTAACACTTGTCATTTACTACGGTCACTAAGTTTGATTATGCAACATTATGTTATCTTTCACTTCAGTAGATACACTTTGTAAATTTTTAATCCAGTATTTTAAGTAACCGACAAAGTCCAGTAAAACACAATGAATTCATATTATTCTGCTTCATTAGTTACTACTAATCTATATAAAAAAGTTAAAGCTGGATAAATATGAAAACCCTCGATAATTACTACTCACTTAACATGCCTTTCACTAAGAATGCTGGTGCGTGATCACGGCTACTCACTAGAACTTAGAAAATTACCTCACGAAGCTAGTTACTAGTGACCATATGATAATTATCAGTATATGGTTGTGGAAACTGTTGAGTTTTATATGAAATCATGAACTGATCAATGTTAGATCACCACCGAAAACATAAAAGCACTGGACCGCCTGTTCATCTTAGTATATAACACTTCAGCCATGAGAATCCACAATCCCGCACCACAGACTCAAACCCTGGATCGCTTAACATCTAGACCACTGAGTCGGTACCCAGCGGTGTTAATGTCTAACTCTAAATATTACAAGATATTGTGCGACCACGTTCCACTATCTTCAGCGGGTAACTGCCTGAAATATAATTATCTGAAATTATTTCTATTAGTCTAAATTGACTTTTACGGAGGACAAAGTTTATAATACGCCCTTCGACCCTGAGATCATCAACATATGCACAAACGGAAATCACAAAAAGAAGACTTCCAAACCTCTGATTTTGATTTATATAGATAAAAATATCCGATTACTCTAATAAAGTCAATTTCATCATTAATTTTTTAAGTTTATCAACCTTAGTAAAATATTCATCTTCAGGAATTGTTAGGAATCGGCATCAACTGGAAATCATATGAAAGCCAGAAACTAATGTTTTAATATTGTTTCAGACTCTTCGATAGCACGCACTTATTACAGTGCCAGGGGATCAAACCCATGACCGCCGTTAATGCAACTTATGCATTACGCTAAATCTGAATTGTCTAGTCCAAAGTCTCCAGTTTTTTTGTCTACAACATCATATTTGTATATGTTCATTTATGTAAAGGTATTCACGACTGTCCGATCACTTACTAGTGATCAATCTCATGTATGTCAATTTCTTCTTAGTGTTGGTAGGATTCTATCCATCAAGTTGCAATTTGATCACTAGTCTCACTAACTCAACATTTCGGGCAGTATGTTGAGATGCAAGGTGATGGTTAGAGTTCTTCGACCCTGTTGAAACTTTATTGAACTAAATGGTTTTATTCATGTTAAAAAATACATTTATAAAATAGTCTATGTATTTTTTAATAAATCAGTGTATATATGGAAGATTTGAACTCATTAAATCAAGTGAATTCCTCGCATTCTACAATTTTTGATTTCTGTGCTTTATCAAATTTTCTCGAAGGAAGGTAACTATGTGTCGCACAGTTTATCTTCGATCAAATGAGATCATATTGGTTATTTTACTTACCTACGAAGTGAACACTAATGCTTCTACTATAATACTTACCAGAAATTCTGAGTAATATCTGATTGGTACTACAAGTTTATTTATAGTAGTTTGAAACCGAACATAATATGCATATTATTTACTTCGGCGCACCCCTACAGTGGAGAAATTACTATTTTAACATGGATTTATTCACAGATTTTTTCTAATTGATATGGATGTGTTTAATTGCATTTTCCTGAACTGTGTAGACACAAGTAATTTACAGATAAGCTAAGCTAATATATTTTTTCCTTCGGTAAGTGTAATTCATTTCTTCGTACTTTAATGGGATCTTGTAGTTTTAACATAAATACACAACACCTGTGAGATAAGACTTAACTTTAAACACTGAATGCCTGTCTAGTAAGTTTAAACAGTATACTGCGAACGTGTTTAAATTCGTAATTATAAATTATTATTTCATCTGTCAAACCTCGTAATACGTAAATAGATATTCGTCCATATGAAGGTTTGTCTTACTGATTTTACTAAAGCGCACATTCGATAAATTTCTACTACTCCCTTACACTACTTTGAAATATCTATCTTTCAAAGCTTATACTCTGTATGCCCCTCCTAATGATTAGCTTATCGGTGTATATAAACACTTAAATAAAAATCTAAATCACTATTAACTCTTGATGATTTTAGATGTTTATTATTCCAAATCTAATCAATCTTTTCTTCTATATCGGATGGGTCTATTGAAAAAAAGCAGAAACTGAAAAAGACGTTGAAACCAATGAAGAGATTGATTCTATGCTGGAAAGACGACGTAGTAGTGGTCAGTCGCACAATTCAACCAGTGGACAAGATACGAATACTACAAGTAAAAGACAGTCTTCAGGAACTTGTGATTCAAATGCTAATGTAACCAATACAAGGACACCGGATACTACTTCTTCCCTTTCCTCATCAGTTATAAAGACAAGATTAGGATCAACTGGAAGTATGTCAACTGAATCTCGTAAAAGCGCTCAACTAAATGATTCTAGTGGCTTGTTAACAACAAAAATGTCATCCAGTTCAAAGTCAACTAGTCAAAATGTAGACGATGGTAATGGGCCATACCTACCAATTCATGGAGTTGAAACGCCCAATGATAATGAGTTAGAGGAAGTAAGTTCGAACAGTTGGTGTGGTAAAATAGTATCTTGTTTAGTTTTGAAACATGTAAACTAATCTGAAATTGCCAACACTGAAAACAAAGAGACGCAAACATATTCAGGTAGACAATATAGTTATTTGATTAACCGAGATATGTTTGTATTCAAGAGAATAATTAGGTCCACCGGTGGAAGTGATCTTGAACATAAATGTCCAGCATTGCAAAATGTTGATAGGTTTAAGTATTCAATATTTTAATTCTTCACTTCGTTACACAAATAACATCTTTAAGTTATGTGGAACTCACATTCAAACATGTTACAAAATACAATGTTTCGCCTTCCAACAACCATCCTATCTTTAACGACATTTAGCATTCAAAGTAATAATTTAGATTTAATAATGAAAGCCTGATATATAAATTTGTTTCTCATCAAAGTCAAACGGTTTTGCAAAAAAATAGATTTACAAAGACATTATTCATGAAACATGCTGTTTACTAGTATCATTTTGAATTGCAGTTCAACATGACATAATTTCTAGGTAGTTTTTGAAGGATTTTTCGGTGGATCCCAGTAGTTAGTACAGTCATTACCACTTGATTCTTTGGTAAGTACATTTCACTAGATACCGTAAGTTTATTGCTACGCTCATTGATTACCACTAATAATAGACGCATCCATCCCATAAACTGTAAGTGTAAAGTTTTCTTACTTAAAATGTTTAGATATTAATCATCATTCCTTAATTCTACGATACTAGTTGAATTTTATGTTTCATGCATTTTGACTAGTTATATGCGATAGCCAAGAGGTATTCCAACTCTCAATATCGAATATTTCTCAGACGTACGAATCTTTCCCCAAATCAGTACAAGCACTAACAAGATTTTCATTATTAAATGTTTTTAATTTATTGCAAATCTAAGTAAGAATGAATTTTTTTTGGTATCTGCCATTCATTTAGATCACTAGCTTTCGGCAACTAGTTTTTCATTGTAAAATAATTACATTTAGATGATAGATGGAAACTAAGATCTGTTTCACAGTTATTTTGTTTTAGACTAGGACTGTAAAAGTAGGCATTCCCCATTCCATAACATTTACAATACTGAATAGTCATGCATTGGAAGGTTTAACTATTATTTCATTAAATTAGTATGATATGGGCAATACATTTAAAAATCAACCAATTTATCTTACAACGTGAACATCATCACTAGACCTCTATGATTCATTATCTCATTTTCAATTCGTTTGCTTCCATATGAAACTTTTGATCTAATTAGTTTAGGATACACTAATCTTATCTGCATTTCTTGTTGATACACCTGGTCTATCTTCGTTAATATGAATTGAAATATCCTCAGATGTCTTTAGACATCAGTCTCTTCATTTGCTTCAACTTCAAATGTTTTACCAAAGATGTAGAGACAAACGATCTCTTCAAATTCAATTTATCAACAATAATTCAAACAGTAAACTCACATGCGGATAACACAAAAGATTGTACATATTTGATGTTCTTATTAGTATGGTAGGTCTTAGCCTTTCATCATGCTTGTATTCTCTACAACTGGAAATCTCTATAATTATCCTTGAATACTTCATGGATCTGTAGCTCACCTTTCTTGATCATTTCTTTGAGTATATAAAAAAATAAATCAAGTAACTAACAAATCAAAAGGAGAAATCCATATTCATCCTGACTTATTTAAATATAATTGAAATTATTTGCACGAAAATTCATGTAACATAATGGAGAAAGTTATGCAGATTTTGTAATTAGGTTATTTATTTATTTGCTACTCTGAAGAAGTGGCTTACTGAGGGAATAGATTGTTCACAAATAAACAAAGCCATAAAGAATTAAAAGTCAAGAATGTAGAATAGTTTTCATGATTTATGTTGAGAACACAAATTAAATCAACTGAACGAAAACTAAATAGAAGAAAATAATGATGGATTGTTCTGAGATTAGCAAAATTGGAATTTTTACTCTGATAATTATCTTTCTGTGTAGATTTATGTATGAATTCGTATTAATTTCAGTAAAATGTAAATTGTATATTGTGAGTTCTCAGTTTCAATGTTTGTACATTGAATTTCTTATCAGAATAAAAACAACGCAAAACAGTTCCTTCATAATTGATATTAACAGAGTTACTCCGGTTAGACATTCATTGAAAACCAGGAAGCATTGGATAGCTGTTATGTCAGAGTATGGGATTATTCACTAGTCTACATCAAGATACCACTGAGGATCAAGCCTAGGGCCTTCATGTTTTACGGCGATTACTTAAGACTCGAAACACTTGATCAGGATCCATTGGTTTTTATGTCTAATTTCAATCAACTGGATATATTGCGTAATTATCTCCCTCACATCTGACATGCTTAAACACCACTGGTAAGTACTTCTCACTAAAACTCAGAGAATTAGCTCTTGAAATTTTTAGTTAGTGAGCCCTTGATTATTATGGGAGATATTGTTGGATGTTCAGCATCTGCACTTACAAACCACTGTAGTATTCATAACCATGTACTCGCTTGTGACTACGATAAGTAATTACGCGAATTTTAGTGAGGAGACATGACCAATAAAGTTCCAACACTGGAAGATGGTTGCTGAATACTACGAATTAAATGATGTTAGACAGGTAAACTATTAGATGACGATTCTGTCAAGATTAAGAAGTTGCCGTAGGACACAAAGATTCTGGGTTCGAATCTGAGCGCGATGGTATATACTTACAGCCGAGGAGTCTTTTATTACTACAGCTACTAAATGAATTCTTGGTTTTAATTTTTCTCTAACTGGTTTGTGATGTTGACTATGAAATCCAAAAGTCTACACAAACAATATAAAACAGTCTCGTTTAGCAAATTTGAAGTTTAATCAACCTTCTCATAAAATGTGCCATCTACGTATGTTTCGTATTACAAGTTGAATAAAATGTAAGCTTACTTTTTACTGACAACGTATCAATTATGCTGGCTGCATTAATCCGTTATTTCAATATTTCCTCTGTCAAAGTTCACTAGCATTTGCATGTTTGCTTCATTTTTATATGAAGCGTTAAGATTAGATATTTAAATGTCTAAAATATATAACTTACAAGAATATCCTTTTTCATGGTGCTTTGGTGAATTCTCTTGAAAACTTAATTTAAATGCGGAATCGCTAAGGCCAGTTAACTTTCTAACTATCTACTTTTTGTTAACACTTTCTTGAAGTTGGTCGGAAATGAGATAGATTGATGGTGGTTCTCTTACAAATTTCATAAGTTTTGAGCACAATGATATTGAATAAGTAGACTTCAAATTAGATAATGGTAACTAAAATTGGTCGAACTTTTAATAACCATATCTGATCTTTAGCCAAACGTTAACTGTTAAAAGTATACATTTCGTATGATGTAACTGAGATATAACTGATCTAGCTTAACGAATGTAACATCATTGTAAGATTAGTTGTCTAGTCAAGAGAGAATAAAGTAAAAGGTATGAAACATTCCATTTTGAAACAGTATAAATCCGAAAACAAGAAAAAAAACTTAAACATCATGTGATGGTACAGATTATTGCATGCAGCAGGAAAAAACTAACGATTATTAGCAGTTGTTTAAAATGGTAATTATTGAATGTTTTTATGATAGTTAGTGTAAATAAAGAAACAGTTCAATGTCTAATTCAGTTATCAAATTACCTTAAGTCAATAAAAAAACAACAAATTTTCTCATTAAAATCATATGCACAGGAAACAATTAATCATGAATAATAAAAAAATATTTTTTTGTTTATTTATAAATCTAGCTCATTTAAGATATTTGTAAATAAATCGGCTAAATTTCAGTTTCACTGCAATAAATAATATAAACTGATGTAAAACTTGGGAACGTACACTTTTTAAATTTCACTAAGACCTGATCATCATTGATAAAGTAATGAAAATCAGATGGCATCAACTAGTTGTTTAATTTGAGTTTAGGATGCTGGAACAGTGTGCAACCCGACAGATCACAAATTGTTTAACATTCATAATGTATACAGTTTGATTCTATCTTACTCATTGTGGTTGTGTGGTGTGTTTATCTGATCGAGAAGTGAGGATGTTTGATACTGGGAAATTCAAATTAGAAAGAAATGTCCGACTACTATTCTGTTTTACTAATCAGTTATTTAGCTGTAAATTATCAAAGCTACTTTGGTAAAAATGTATTTCAAACAAAACATGGTCTTATGAAATTACTGCCTGTCAAAATTTCTTATGTTGAAGATTTGTTCGTCAGTACTCTCGGTAAATATGTCGAAACGGAAGTCTAATTCACAGTTTTATCTATAAACTCGATCATTTAAATGTATACCATGTCATCTCAGTAATTAATATTTCCCTCTTTTTTATGATGAGGATAATTTATGGAAGAACTTTGACACTGAAGTGACCTTGAGAAAACCCACCTACCTACTAGGGTCTTAAGAGGACTATACATTAGTGTGAGAAGTTACGGTTAGGAATTAGAGTGAGGGTTTTCATTACGGACTGATATTACCTGTTATACCGAAATACTATTTAGCCTTACTGATGAAAAAAATTTCCCTCCGAAATCCAAAACTAACTACAATAAATTTAATTGGCTCACCCATAAATTAGTTTCTCAATTTTTATTTCATCATGCTTTAATCAAAATGTTCACATTATTGCCTCTATTGGTTTTAGAGATTCTCGCAGTGTTTGGATGAATGGGGTTTAGACATCTTCGAAATTGATCGACTTTCTAATGGACATGCCCTTACAACAGTTGCTTATAGAATATTTCAGGTATTGTTTAAAAAACATATTTTCTTCATATTTCAACTTGTTTAACTTTGTAAACTGAATATACCCATTGAAATATAAAATAAGAAAGAGTGGTTCTGTGAAGAGATAACTTTTCGGCAAATTCACTTCCAAAGCTGTACAATCGCAAGTATATACTTATTTTCCAAAATGATGAAATTTACAATAATAGTGGTAATGAAATTTCGCTAAACCGATAACAGTGAGAAAGAATAAACAATGGTATTTAAAGGTTATTTTATTTACCAACAAAACCAATAATAATTTTGTTGTTGAGTGTTCGAATATTCATCATAAAGATAAATAAGGAAATTCTAATAGGGAGGGGAAGGTTCAGTATGACAAGATAAGCTGTTGAAATTGAGATGAACTGTAATCAGGAGAATTATCGAAACAGAAACAGACCAGTTTGGTGTAAAAGGTATATGGAGAAGATAGAAGAGAAGCAGATGTCTGTGAAAGTAGATAAATATGAAGAAGCATGAAAAAATCACGATAGATTCAGAACATAGTAGAAGAAGTTATACCAGTTCCTTTTGGACATATAATTCTGGTTGTCCCAGATATATAGCTAGTTTTTCTGCAGAAATAAGTAAATGCCTTTGGAAGCTTTCTACCCACCTTATAGATGACTTTAAACACATAATGCACTTTGATTGAGTGATCTGTATTCACAGGGTATTCGAGTATTGAGCTTCTTATTTCGATATTTCCACCTTCTTTCAGTCAGAATGGGTAATATTCTTGAATGTTTCTGGATAAAATACGTATCAAACGACCAATACACCAGGCTCTACATGAACAGATAAATTAGTCAAAAACGTTCAGTTTTCATTAGATATGCAAACTTATTGATCATTGAAAGACCTTAGATAACAGTTCGTAAATATTAGTTTAAACTTTACTCACTAAATCAACCAATCGAGTAGAAAGTTATTCAGATGAAAATGAAATTGAATTAATGCGGAGAAAACAACACAAATTCTTAATAATAAAGCTTATAGGTTTATCAGAAACCACTTTTTGAATGTAAGCATTACTTGATGTATAATTTCATGGTTAAATTAATATGATATGAGCAGGATAATAAGTGAATCTCTTAAAATTTCCGATGATGCCCGTATAAAACTGAAATGTTTCAGAGCCATAAAATGGAAGTGTGTCATGTTTTTTATGTCATATCATTTACCGATATTTATACTGCCCAATAGTTTCTCTATAAAATGACCATAGGAATTCAGTAAATATATATATTTGAAAGGTTAGCAAATGTGTTTATCAAAGAATCATGTATATATAGATCTTACGTCAACAAATATCGGATCATTAGTGCGTAACATTTATCAATGATACTAACATTAACTCAGCTATCATTATTATTAATGTCAGTTATGCCAATGAAATGAGTGAAAGTGTGGACAGCTTTTCATTAGTTTTTGCCTGTAATTATATGAATTCATTCAGTTAATCGTAAGAAATGTAGAACCTAACACATTTTTACATCTGTCTAAGCTATTGTACTACACGAACACGTCTAGCTGAAATTATCAGGATGATTTTTAATTAGTAAAACTAGAATAAATACACGACAATACATATGAAACAATACTAGTTTTAAAGACTTTTGATTATACTACTGCGAGAAGTTAGTTAAAGCATTTAATTGAAAGATAAGTTGAAGTATTTAGTCGAATAATATGGTTGACTAAAAAAAAGTCTGTGTATGTGTGTATGTGTACCGACTATCCTGACTAACATTTGTTTTGTTCACAATATAATGAAAATTGATATTGTATTTCTTTCACACAATAAAATAATCAAAGCAGAACTATCATATCATACATAGTCAATCATTTAGAAAAAAATGGAGTGAGAGGAAATATATTATATGAACATTGATCGGCATCATTGTTTATTTGTTTCACTATTGGTTTTTAATTTCCTTTTGTTTGGTAGATTCAATCACCTATGAAATTGTTCTCATATCATGCTTTTGACTTTTGTTTTTACCAGTTAGTTCATTAGCATAAAGATGTTGATAGATAAATCATTGTTGACTGGTAAAATCACACTAAGTAATAATGACATTTTGTCAATCTGTTCACAAAATGTTTAACATTGGCTTATATTGAGTTTTCTTCTGAATCAATGTTCATGATAAGATTTTTGAAGTCAATATTTTCAAAATTAGTTTATTGTTTTGAACTGATTAATAATTTAAGGTTTTTGAATACTACAACAAAGTATTTAGCTTACAAATATAAAATGAACTGACATTAGATAGTTAAAGGTAGTTAACAGGACACTTCTAGCTTAAGTTTAGTGCTTATTGTACTTGTTTATTGAGGAATTCAAGTTGGCAGATTCTCCTCATGACTAGAGAAACCCCTTGTCGATGAGTTTCAACTAGCAGGAAACCTGGTTACAGAGTTCTAGATCGACTTCGTCCAACTACTGTCAATTAAAACATAGTTCACGAGTTGTTGATTTACATAGACTGATTGGCAAACTACAATATAATCGATAGGATTCAGCAGCACTAGACGATTAGACATGTGTGATTTTCTCAACGAGACCTATCAGCACTCTTAACTCAGTAGATGCTTTCAGGAAGGTATGGACCAATATTATCTGGTTATACGGTCAAATACATTATTCATCTGCTGCTCACCGCTCAGAGATCTTTTGTATGATTGTAATGTTCATTCTGATTGGTCAATGAGGAGTAACCAACGTCAGGTTTGTACCGAGCGAACTTTATCGACCTCTTGTAGAAGTAAATTTTTGTAATAAACCAAATTTATGTACATCTTCAGTTCTGTCTTATTACTATGAAAATTCTATGTATATATGTGTACATATATATTTTACTTTACAGAAACGTGATTTACTCAAAACATTTTGTATTGATCCTCGTGTTTTTGTACGTTATCTGTTAAGAGTTGAATCAACTTACCATGCTGATGTTCCTTATCATAACTCAATGCATGCAGCCGATGTTCTTCAAACAGCACATTTTTTGTTACAAGCGGAAGCATTAGACGTAAGTCGTATGAATCGGTTGGACTTATAAATATCTGTTGGGAAATTGAAAACAATATTTATAGTCAGATTAAAAATTTAGATATGTGTATTTCGGGTGAAAACAAAGTATCTGTTTGGATTTAAAAGTATTTTTCATTGAAAGTCAACTTTGTTAAAAGCCTATGAAATAGTAAAGTACATCATGCTAGCAAATGAGTCAAAAACCTAATTAAAACAAAAGATTTTGAATCGTCTTAGTGGTTAAAACTTCAACTGTGATTTCGAATGACTTTATTTCAAATTTGAATTGATGGATACTAGTGGTTTGAGCGTGCGTCAGTTACTTTCAGTTTTCATCAACATTCATGAGTAATAAGATATCATGAACTCAAAAGAATATGAAGAAAATTCGAAGTGTCATACTGAGTTAATTTGAAAAGCAAAGGTTTATTTTTAAAATCACATTCATCAGTTATTCCTTGAGAGTTAAATTTAAAGTTAAATTCTCTGTTGAATAATTTAAAAAAAATAACGTATCTGTATTATTGGTAAGGGATTTTTTTATCCCGACGTTCATATTCAAAACCGAAATTAAACCAGGCTTATAAAAAAATTTGCACACCATTTAATATCAAGTCATGGGATATATATGGACCACAACTTCCATTGGAATTCAGGAAGTTAGCTCTGTTTAAATCCGAATTTGTCAGCCAATTAGTAGCTGTTTGGACCCTGTCACTCTAAGTTATTTAAAGCAAAAAGTGCTAAATTGCTTCACAGTGTAAACACAAAGTTTGAGATATAGGTACATCCAAGTGCCTAGTCTCATATAGGATGAAAGGCGCATCCTGCTTTTACCATTAGCCATAATCGGTTTATATTTTACACTAAGTATATATCTATATGTCTGATTCATAGTTAATAAATACATTGTATCAGACTTACTTTTTATAGGCAAGCTAACACTGTCTGAGACACTGACGTTTGTTTTAAAGCATCAATTTCTTTCCCGTCTTCCCAATAATCATGATGACAAAATTGACCATAAAACTTACAAAACTAATTTATTTGGCAAAGAAATGAAAAAATAATTCTGAACATCAGATATTTCCTATTTCGCTTTGATTTCTGTTTTAAAATAAAATTCTCATATAAATTTTTACCACTCCAATAAATATTACAGAGTTTTATTAAGTAGAAGAAAATTATAAATGAGTTAAATGATATTTACTGTAATATTTTAGACCAAACACTTTTTAATTTCAATTGTAGAAAAATAAAGTTAACAACATTCAGCCGAATGACTATGAAAAGACATCTCTTAATTCTGATCAGTAGTATTATTATTTACATTGGTCTTTGGACATACTCGTAGGTCCGAACTCTGTGGGTGAACATCATAATTGAAAGACTAGATCATTTATATCAGTAGGGCTTCAGAATTTTAGTTAATTAAAAGTCCAGTATACTTCTTCACTGATATTGCGATGGATCTTGGTAATGTACAGTTTATTGTCAGATCATTTAAGCCGTATTCATGAAAATGACAGGATGAAATTGATTTCTTTTATAACCCAAATGTATATTTGATCCACTGCGGTAGTGATTTATTACTAGTTTGGACTAATCAATATATTATATCTGAATGAAGTACTAATCAAAGTGAGTTTTAAATTTCGCGGTAAAGTTATTACTTTCAAGTCGTTTTCATTACAAATAAATAAACGTGTTTCTTTCATGAATTATTTTTTGATAACATTTAGACACTATACAGAATATACGTTCTTTGTTCACAACACTTCAGATTTAGCACCGCATAATCCAACAGTGGTGATCGATATTTTCATTCCAGCTAAATTGATGAATACGGTTGACAACAGAAGGTTGTGTTCAGAGATGGAAACAATCATGAGAATCTACTTAATAAACTGGACTACACTAAAGGTTGATTAAGGTAAATAGGACTAGTCATACAGGATATACTAAGTTGATCAACAACTTACAAAACATTCAGTGAGACTGAGTTTATACGGTTCTTAATAGACTCAATTGACTGCCCTTATTTATTGATTTCTCTTTAAGCTAACTATCTTGTAAAACAAAATCATTCTAATTCATAGTTCCTTATCCAAATTGTTTTCTAGGTCAATAATTATTTACATTGTTTCTTCAATAATTTCTTTAGGATGTTTTCAGTGACTTGGAAATTTTAGCTGTTCTGTTTGCCGCAGCTATACATGACGTAGATCATCCTGGAGTAACTAATCAATTTCTAATCAATACTGGTAAGTAAGAAAAGTAAGAAGATAAAGAATATTTATATCAATTTTTGAGGATTTATTACATTTGATAAATACACTTTTTGAGTTCACTAAACTTCTGAAAAACATTAGTAACCTAATGGAGGTACTTTTCAGAATTGTAAATATAATAGATTATGATGTTTTGAAATACAAACAGATATGTGTCTGGACATGGGTTAACTTGAGCAGACTAGTTCACAAGAAATAAGTTGTTTTCAATAAGCGATTTATCTTGATGTTATTGTTCATATAGCTGTGATAAAACCTTTCATTGGGTGGAAAATATATGTCACTTGTCACGCTTTTTTCTCAGCAGCAGAATGAGTAGACAGTCACTTGTAGGTTAAAAGTAATTAAATAAGAAACTACTGTTTCGTTGGTTAATGTATTTTACAGTCTATTCAAGTCCATAATTGAAAGTGAAAATCATCAACGCCCGGAAGTATAAAAGATAATTGAAGTTGAAATATGTTTACTAACAAATAAATTATCATTATAACTGTTGTTAATTTATTTAGATAAATGAACAACACCAAAAAATAATAGACTGTACAATAAATCATGGAATAATCATTCAGCATAATTAAGTGTTCAACAAAATCAAATGAATAGAAGGATATGGTCTAACATTAAATCAAAACACTTCATGTCCTAAGTAACACTTATTCTAATTAGAAACTTAAATCATTTCTAAGGGCGTTATGTGCATTGGCTAAAAATAAAGCCTATAAGACTATTATTATTATTACTAGTATGCTAGCGTAAGAGCTTGACTTCTTACTTAGACAAACTTAGACAAACTTGTTTACAAAGGTTCAGCGATACCAACATCAAACAAGATTGTTATGAGATTTGAAGCAAACGCTGAATGTATCAGCAACATCTGACTACTTTAATTACTACCATCATGAATTGTTTGCTCGACATAATTAGTCATTCACTATTAACTGTAAACATTTTGCTTGATAACAATTCTAAGTTAATTTCTTTTTTGTTGTTATTCTTGTTCTCTGGTGTCTAAATTAAGAGTGACAATGTCATGTAGTGATTAATTTGAGTTTATAATTGATTGATCACTGAATAGTGACCAATGTTATGTCTGTCAGGCATTTAATAGAAACCTAATCTTATCTATTCAGTTGAGCTATGTTCGGGAGTTTCAGGGACTCGGCATCGTATTCATCATATTTTGTATTAAGATGATTGGAGTAAGTCTGTAGGAAACTAAGGATCTAGGTTTTGTGCTGGTCGGGACTCTTCAACAAGCCATGTCTTATATTCTTAAGAAGACTGATGCTTCTTATCGGATTTGAACACAGAGATATTCTGACGAAAATTCAGGTGGGTCTTGTTTGTAAGCTCCAATACCAGAGACTCCTCTCAACTGCCTCTTACCAACGAACATTTCAGCTTAGTTAAGTAGTAGATAGGCGGAATTTGTCGATGAATATCCCTTTGAGCAGTGCTAAGGGGAGGGTGTGAAAAATTATCTACCAATGTGTCGGCTAGTGAGAATACTAAATTTACATCACAGTCGCTTTAATGTTATTTGGATGATTGTAGAGGCACACCCTAGACTGGTTGCAGTCCGAAATAGGAACTATTCTATGGCCTAAAAGTTATTTACTTGTATAGAGACTTGAAGTTTTGAGTGTGTACTCTTGGGTCAGGGTACATGGTTTTCAACCTAAACCAACTATAACCAATCCAGAAAGAATACGAATTTCTTCTATCTGTAAGAGTTTGTATATAACTGGAGAATATCACTGATTATCTTAGGCAATCAAAAAACATGAAAAAGATGAAAACAGACTATGAATCCAACTTAATGACAAATATGTGGTAATTTGTGGAGATTGTAGCATTTTAACAGTTGAATTCACGAGTCAGTCTAAGCTAGACTTCCAGTGAAAACCTGGAAGCACTAGATAGTCGTTTCATTCTAGAATAAGACTAGTAAGGGGTGCGCATCCACGATCCCGCACGCAAACTCTTAACCTCCAGACCACTGAGCCGGCATTCAATTATGTTATGGTTTTCGCAAGACCTTGGATCAATTGAAGTCAGACATTAAAATCGTTGTATGCCTGCTCAGTGGTTTAGAGGTTAAGTGCTCACATGCGAAATCGAAGATTCTGGGTTAGAGTCCGACGTGAGAGATCGTGGATGCGCACTGCTAAGGAGTTCTGTTCTGAAACGAAAAGGCCTTCCAGTGCTTCCAGGTTTTCGATAGTGGTCAAGTTTAGATTGGCTCTTGAATTCAACTGTTAGAATTTATGGTACTTAAATCCATATTATCATCAGTATACGATCATCATGACAAACATTCTTGTATCAGTGGGTTTTTTATTAAAGTAGTGCAACGAGAAAAACAGAAACTTTTGTTGTTCCTTGATAAATATTATTCTAGTGTTTATGATCAGTCAAAAAAGTCAGTTGAAGAAAATATTTTTAAATGAAACATAATTTTTCTAAAAATAATATCGGTGAATATTTCAAACGTTAGCAATGATTAAAAACTAATATTTTTTTCGTGGTGTAAAACTCATTTTTTACCCGATTTATGACGGATTGTACGTGTGGTTTTCAGCGTCCACTTTTCATTTTAACTCTACTGTTCAAAACAAAACTAATAATTTCGGCTTTTGAAATGCATAATTTTGTGATGTAGTCAGCACATTTCATTTATTTAGAAAAAAATCTAGAACAAACTGTGGTATATGTTGAACTTTTCAGTTTTACCGACATATGGAAAAGTTTTCAGTGGTATTATTTATGCACTGTAATGTTCAAATGTTGTCTCTATAGATTATCATAATTTTTGAATTAGATACTCTTTCATTGACTAGAAAAATAGAGTTCTGATTATTTGACTATGTGGTAAGGTTGTATAAAACATAAATATACATTGGATTATGTAAGTTAGGCGAGACTATAATTTATGAACGAACCAATCAACTATAGTGCAACAGGTTTTGGATTTTGGCGCGAAATTCATTCATCAATTTGAACAAATAGTGTTTAGGAATTTTAGCTGATGTCGGTTTGTGATAGAGACCCTAAATCTAGTTCCTAACCCTAACCACCAACTGTAAATCTTATTTCTAATTCCTTACAATGGTTTAGTCCTAGTTTGTAGGTGGACATTCTCAAGGTCATTTTGCGTCGATCAAAGGTTGTGGTCTCACTGTGAGTTATCTTAGTCAATCTGTTGAACTTATTTATTCGATAAAATTTTAGCTTGTACTCAAAATCATTTGTTATATTAGACAAAAGGTAAATAAAAAGACTCAAGCAAGTGTATAAAATGGGAAAGAAATATGATTTTATTGATTTTTACGAATTGATTTTCTCTTTTTCTTTGAATTTTTTTAAATAGTTTGTTTTAACTTCGTTACCATGGATTCCTTGGCGTTAACATAAATCAACGTAATATATTCTAAATTAAAATATACAATTATTTACGTGTACATTAGTAAATAATATCACGAAAGGTTAGGTGAAGTATGGAACATTTTATAAGGTTCATTAACAATCGAGATTTGATCCTGTTAATTCGTTATTAGGAAATTATTTGACCTAATTAGTCCGTCTATATAAGTATGTTTGAATATAATGTCGTTTAGTGCTTTACTTCGATAAATGAACAGACACTTTAATAACACGTACAGTTTATATATATATATATATATATATATATATATATATATATATATATATATATATATATATATATATATATATATATATATATATATTACGTGTAAGTTAAGGATTAGTTACCTTAAATATACCATTGAATTAAAATGAATTTAATTCCTAAATATCATAATTTAACTGTTGACCTGACTTAATTTGTGAATATTTTAAGAGGCAATTTATAAATGTTCAGTGAAACTAATTCTTACCGTATGTATTGAATTTGATTCCCTCAGCAGAATGCAAATTATTCATACACCATAAATAATAAACTTCAGTGGCGAAATCTAGGAGCAGTAGCTAGGTGTTTTAATTATAATATATTGTCATGATGCCACTCAATATTTTAATGGTTAATAAGAAGATTAGTGGAAACCAGACCAAAGTTCCAAGGTTTGATACCAAGTAATGTCTTGACTGTTTACTGCTGAGTGGTTCCAAGCTCAGCGCTTCCTGATTTTTAGTGTTTTCATAATTAGCATCATTAAATAACGAAATACCATATCACCTTTTAATGATTTATACGGTACTGAATCAAACGTTCTTTCTTAGAATAAATGAGTCGTGGCTAACATTTGAATTCATGTTGAAACTCGTCAGCTGGATGTACTTGAGTCCTAGTGTTGAAGACCACATTGGGACTCGGACCGATTTCTTTTCTCTTCATACACGAAACGTGCTATCTAGTTGACTACAGAGTCCAGATAATTGCTGAATATTTTTAGGGGTTTAATCAGAGAATGAAGTATACGGATATTATTTAAATAAAAATTATCAGCTAAACATTTGGAACATTTGACTTTAGAGAAACATTAATCGTACAACCAGTGAAAATCAAGAAGTTAACCATATCATACTTAAAACGATAACTCACAACTGACAATGAATGAGTGATCATAATATATTGCCAAGTTAATGATATTTAAGCCGTTAGGGATTTAAACTTCAGATTTAATTTAATTAGTTAATCATCTTAATTTTAATGATTACATCGACCAGATGATAATATTTTAAATAAACTATATAAAATCATTGAGCTAAAAGACATAACTGTAATCACCTTAATTTCGTTTTATACATAGGTAACCACTTTAAAGATTACTAACAATAGTTGATCCATCATACTATGAAAGCATTCATAATGATGAAGATATTTTTTGTTATATCATAATGAGTAGAAAATTGTATTTCCGACGTTTTGTGACCTAATGTCAGCCACTGCTCCAGAGTAAATAAATGAACGACATTGTTAAGTTTCTACCCGATGCTCAAGTCCGACCTTGGTATTGATACCTACAAATTCATGGTGGTTGATCGCTAGGTAATAATAGATATGATATTTGATAACAGTTGACAGGATTCCTTTGCCTCAGATGTCATGCTAACTAACTCTCTTCAGTTAGGTGTATCTAGGATAATGAAGAAACAGGCGTTCTCCTAGGGATTCTTGATCTTTTTTATCCGGTATCACAGACAGAAACTCTACTACAAGGTGATTTGGATCAAGAATGACAGATTTCCATCATAACTTAGATGTTTATACTGACTGATTACCTAATGGTAATCCATGTCATAATTGCTAAGTCTTTATTGTTACTTGAATGCTTTCAGCCCAGCTTTAATATAATCACCAGACTAGGTAACTTGACATTGGGGTGGACACTTGTTTTCACTTAGTGATCAGACACAGTAAATATCTTCATCCTGCAATGTCGGATACATTTTAGATAACAGGTCGATAACCACTCTGACTGTAGCACAGTATTGTTGAAACCTAGAGATATAAATAGTTTTATCATCAATACAAATGTCCTTTGCTGACTAAGGTCATTTACAAACATCTGTGTGCAAGGCTTCTTAATAATTGTTTATGATTAACTAATTACGAGTATTCTTCAGTGTATATGCTACACTATTTGTTTCCAGGTTGGGCAGAGTCTTCTGACCACTCTAAGCAACAATGCAAGCATGTTCGGGATGCGATTCTCCTCTCGAAATGCGAAGTGTTGCTTCGACACCCGAACCAATGATAGGGAGTAAAGTAGATGAGAGTGTCGACCGCTTCACTAGTCTTGAAAGTCTCACCAGCCCTTGTGGTCTGGTGTGTGACGAAATCTCAGCACGGATACAGAAGGCTCGACTAGCTTTTGCCAACCCCCGTCATTTATGGCATAGGTAAGATATCCGTCTATCAACCAAAGGACGTGTTTACTGTGCAACAGTTCGTTCCGTCCTACTTTATGGTAGTGAAATATGACCGATAAGAGCAGAGGATATTTGTAGTTTACTAGTATTCGATCATAGGTTTCTTCGAAGCATTATTCGTAAATCCTGGGACCACCGAGTAAGTAATGCAGTTGTTAGGAAACGGGCGCTAGGTAAGGATTACAAATTAATTGATGAAGTAGTGAAACTCCATCAGTTGAGATGGCTTGGACACGTGTTACGTATGCCCAACCATCGATTGCCCCGATGTGCGATGTTTTATGGTGTAGGAGTAGGTTGGAAGAAGGCTAGGGGTGGCCAGACCGAAACATGGCACAAATCTATGAAGTCTCTAACAGGTGGACTGAGCCATGTTGGTAGGTGTAGACTACCTGGTTGGGATCCGCGAGATGATAGCCACCTATGGTTTGAGACGTTGAATGACATGACTCAAAATCGTTTGCAATGGCGCAGGTGCATACACCCTTTGTGTTTTCCCAAATTCTAGTCTTCTGAATTCTTTATGTCCATTTCTTTTTTCTCTTTCAAAATTCATTTCATTGGATTATACTCGTTGACTAACATCTTCAAACCCTAATCTTTCGGATTACTGCTTATGCTTTTACTATCCCTACCACTACGAAATTTGAGTCGACAACTGCATCTCTGTGCTGTGGTATGGCAACTCAAACTGATGTATGTACGTACGAAGTTCTAAGTTGTTACTGACTGACTGACCGTCTAGACATCTTTTATTATTCTGTAGTTGCGTATTTCTGATATTCGCTTTACATACTTCAATATTAACATATAGGTTAACAGTATTATTCTCAGTTGAATTTTCATCCGCCTTTACTCTGATAGATGGCTTATAGATTGAGTGAAATCAATCTGCCCAAATGACCTTACAAAGAAGGTCAAGGATTACATGAGAGAACCAAGGTCCTCGGTTCGATTTACGGATGTGGTGTCACGAGTGCACACTGCTGAGAATTTAAAGCATTGGTTCAACCATTCATTATCCTTACCACAACTGCTGGTATGCCTGTCATGCTACTATCAATTTGTAATCTTTACTTATTACGTTAGGTTATGTAATCCATTTGATTGTTGTCACCGTAGCATAACCTGTCTTGATTAGTTTAATATTTTTCGTATATGCACGTAAGTATATTACTGTATAGTAAAGTAAAGCCTAGTGAGGATCTAATTGCATACAATATTGTTCGTTTATATTCATTGTACGATTTTACACAATAGGGATGTTTTTATAATTTGAGTATTAATACACTATAACCTAGTTCACTAACAAATAATGATAAGATCTATTATTATATTTAAAATTTAAAAAAAGATTGTGGGGGTCGGTATTCAATATAATCCTTAAACTTCGTATACAGTTCGTCTTGATAACCGTCACTAGGTAACGCCCCAACGGTATATTAATCAGAAGGCGAATACGAAGTGTTGACTACGTTTATTATGGAACCAAACACAGATATCCAAAATTACACGTGCGTTAAACAAGCATGAAAGAGTTGTGCCGAAAGGCAAGCAGGCAAGCGAGCGAGCGAGTGAGTCAGCGATTATGAGCACGAGTATACGAGTACAATTAAGCGAGAGAGAGCAATGAACATGAATAACATGGGCATATACATACATAGTGAAATGAATGAATCATCGAATCAATTAAGCGGTTAGTAGTAAGGCTAGCAGCGTGAATAAATGCGTGGGCAGTAAGCAATGCTCAAGCACACATGTTCACACATTCTCACCAATAAAGATGCAATGATATAGATAAGTTGTTGTTGTACGGATGACTCAGTTCGTTAATAAGTAAACAAAATGACTTAACCGAATTAAATGTGAACAAACTCAATTGCACGTGGGTTGCTATAAAATCATCATATGCACAAATCCCTTAATTTTCATTTCTTAGTATTTCTTTTTCTAAAATCTATTATAAAGGTCATGAATTGGCTTTACAATATAATGATGCATCCGTTCTGGAAAATCATCATCTTTATATGGCATTTAAAATTCTAACCGAAAAAGACTGTGATATATTTGCTAATTTAGGTGGAAAAAAACGTCAAACTTTACGTAGAATGGTTATAGAATTGGTACGTTTGATTTTTAACTATATTTATGTATTCTGTGATATATTTATACAAAAGCCACTAAATAAAAAAAACTGCATAGTGAAACTGTCATTAGATGTGCGATTCGTTTGAAAGGTAACGTATCTATGAGTGTGTCTCTAGGTTTTCTATGGCTAATAAAGTGTAATGAACGAAATAAATCTCTTGCTACACGTAAAAGGTAGTTGATCGTGTTCCTTAAGCTTAAAACGTACACATTGGAAAATTAAGTTTGTTGAAGTTTTTGTTAATTGCAAATAAACAGGTGGTAAGCGGTAATGTTAAACTAAGAGCAATTGGAAGAAAACCCAAAACAAACTGATTGATTATATGGTTAACTCATATATAATCATATGAAAAAATTTGTTGCTTAGATCATCTTATGAAAACAAAACGTTGCTTTGATTCCTAAGGGTTTAAATTAAGTAGAATGATCAAAATGGATTGATAACATGAGCTATATGAGTTCGTCCTAGTTATCAATAAACAAGTAATCACTATCATTTATATGATGGACTTCTGTCGGTTAAAAATCAAATGGAAAAACTTGATTATAAGGCTATTCATCTTTACAAATTCTTCAATAGAGGACTGACTAATGCGTCACAGAACAACCAAGGATTTAAAATATTATCGCTTATCTCTTCTTACTTCATTTTATAAAGTACGTAACCCAACTGCAATACGATGCCATCTGATAACATTTGTTCTTTATGATGACTGGTTTTTTAATAATCAACTATTAATTACTCGCTTTGTGATACTTATGCTGTTATTTTACGTGGCTGTAAATTGTAGGGCCATAACAATAGATACTCAGACTAATGGTAATCAGTAATACCAGAAGATAGTTAAACGAAATTTGGAAATGCAAATTTAAGTATCGTGAACTAGTCTTCACCATTTTTCCCTATTTAGATATCTCCAAGTTGATTAGGATTAAAACATGAAAATGACACTTGGTTTTAAAAGTTTCTAAACTATATACTGAGATTTATTTTAATTGACCTTAACTAATAGACTCAAAAATAGACATACAATAAGATGCATTGCTGATAACCTTTAACAATCATTACAACGTGAATGTGGCTTAATTGAAGTTTATAGGAGGTTTCAAAAGATTGCTGAACTTCGAAATTTTATGTCAGATACTGACCATGGTGTTCAACTATGTCTGGCGTTAGATGAATATCACTAATGATAGTAACATACGTTTACACAATATAGCGTATGGACTGACGTTTGAAATGTAACCGACCCATAGATGTAAATGTCAAGTTAAAGTTTTTGGGTTTGATGCCCAATGAGGTCGTGGAGTCCTACTGCAAAGAGGTACAATAATAGGACGAAACAGACATTCGGTACTTCCTGATTTTAAATAACTGTTTAACTAAATTATATTAATAATGCAAAATTGCAGAATTGAGTTTCGCCGTTGGACTTTGTTCATAGTTATCAATTTGTTTAAATATTTTTTTGTATAATCATTTTACGTATACAGGTGTTAGCAACAGATATGTCTAAGCATATGAGTTTATTAGCTGATTTAAGAACAATGGTTGAAACTAAAAAAGTTTCTGGATCCGGTATGTTGAATTTGGACAATTATGCTGATCGTATACAGGTATGTGATTGTTGGAGTTGAATAATTCACATTTCATTCATCCAAATAAGATTGTGTAATGATTGAAAAGTTACAGTTTGGTATGTAATACAATTTATCATTATTCATTTGATGTGAATATGAGACGAAAAATAAGACTTAGAGGTGGTAATAATAGCTGATTAGTATGTATTAAAAATTAGAATTAAGGCGAAAGAGGCTAAGATCCAGATAAAATTGGAGATATGTATTTTAATAGTTGAATTCATGAGCCGATGTAAACTAGACCACTACTGAAGATCTGAAAGCACTGGACGGTCATTTCATTCTAGTACGGGGCTCCTCAGAAGTGCATATCCATGATCCTGTATGTGGGACTAGAACCCAAGATCTTGATGTCAAGCGCAAACGCTTAACCTCTAGATCACTGAGTCGACTCATTAATTCAATTATTAAAATTACTACAATCTTCATAAACTACCATCCAGATATATACTTATCGAAGTTAAATTTGATTTAACTGGTGATCTAACTAATTTCCTCCTGGTTACAGACAATTTACTGCTAACTGATTAATCTTGGAAAATTGACAAACATTTTTGTAAGGCACGTTTCACATAATTTTGATAGTCCTAATACATTGGAGAGTGAGAAATTTTCAAAATGGAATATTTTTCAATTGTTTATGACATTCGTTTGTTAATATCTTGTCTATCAGTATGTTACTCTATTAGATGAATAGCCTTATTATTCAGGCTAATGATCTTATCTATAAACATAAATCATTCGGAGACTTAAACCAATAATTCGGTCTCATAAGCAATCATCACTCGATCATATTGTATTACTGAGTTTCACATTCCATCAATATCATATCCCTTAATTTATCAAATCATTAAAACTCCCCTATAATGAAGGTACAATCGATAATTTAACTTAACAATTATTTACAAAAGTGGGAACAAATTTGTTGAGATCAAAATTCAAGAGTCAATATCATTTTTCATATATGATTGCTACATTAGATAACATATGAACATAATAATTCATCCGTTGTAGTTGTTAACTGTTTCTAAGAATAAAAAACAAACTATTCCATAGTTATTTTCTTATGGAACAGTCAGAATAGGTTGTGTTGTGTAAAACAATCGGAAATTATCTGACTGTTGAATAATGTTCAAAAGTACCACTTGATACATTTTTTCAGTCATCCGAATGTACAGTGATGTTATGAGATCCGAAAATACCTAAGTTTACTACTAGCTGATGGGCGAAAAATAGGGTTATTTCGAAATTTTTTATAGATTAGCTATCTGCATGTCAATGTAACAAGTTGCAATGATTAATTTTCATAATCACAACCTTAAACAAAGCAGTAGTTTTGGATCATTTATCATCATAGTCATCATCATCAGTCTCCCATAATAGTTAGATCTTCTAACGTTTTAGCTGAAAAATCTTCACAATTCTCTAATCCTGATAATTATGATAAGTAATTTATTACATTCTTATTTAAAGATGTATTTACATATGGTTCAGTAGTATTATGTTAATTTTTATTAAAATTCTGTTGCATTTTAAAGCCAATATCCTCAGTTTAGATTGTTTATTATGTCTCATTCAACTGAAAGTATATCTTTCATGTAATTCTACCAACCTTATGTTTTGTATTGTTTATTTTTTCCTAAATAATGCACAGATATTACAAAATATGATTCATTGTGCTGATCTTAGTAATCCAGCTAAACCATTACGATTATATCGTAAATGGACTGGACGTTTAATTGAGGAATTTTTCAGACAGGGGGATAAAGAAAGAAATTTATCATTGGAAATTAGCCCAATGTGTGATCGTGAATCTGTAGAAGTTGAAAAATCTCAGGTCGGTTGTTAATTCTTGTGTGTACAAATTCTTTATGTTTTTAACCGTGTAAATGAGCAATAATAAATTTGTTTTATAAGGGCAATGACATTAATAGTTTGATAGTTAACTCACAACGTAGCTTTTGTCCTCTATAATCACGAATTTAGATCCTACTCCACCTAACTCTATCACGATAACTGGGTAATATCACTAGCTGTCATTCCCGTAGTACTTCTCATAGACCGATATATTTATTTATACTTCACAATTAAGTTCTAATCAATTTTTATGTAGAAATATTTTCCTTGTAACGAAAACCATATCAATGCTTGATACTCATAAGCAATACTATAAGTTCTGAATATTCATGACAGATATTACTGAAAACTACATAAAGTGTTTTTTATTAACATTAACTTGTAAAGAAGAATATTATCTGGTTTTAATGTTTGTTATTTTAAGAATATTTTGTGCTTCTCTCCTTGTCCAACAATATGACTGATCTCTCTTCACTAACGAATTATGATTGTGTAGTTTCTATGTTGATTTTTTTAGTAAACTATTACATCACACTGAAAGCTTGATTGTTTTTCCGAAAATAATAACAGTATGTACAGTAAATTGTCTTAGTTACATAGTATTATTATTAGTGTTATTCGGAACACCATTATTGATTATTTCTATAGATATGTTTAGTAAATTATTATTACAACCCATAAAATATTCCGACATGATTGATAGTGTAGGTGTAAATATTTAGTGCAATAGATAATGACAATTATGTTTCCCACTGACGAGTTACGTACTCATGTACTTCTCTTTGAGCCGCAGTGTTTATACAAAGATTAATAATAAAACTACCTAGCTGCTCTAACAGATTATGTGAGAGAAGGGTTTGAACCCGGAATCTATTTGTTAAAAATGAGCCATTTCCTTACCGACTAGAATAACATAATCAAATGTGATATCATTTTGTGGAGTGGCAATCATGGAGGTTTTTTTCTAGTTCAAACGATCAACCGAGTGGACTACCAACTTCTTTTCAGGAGAGAAAAGTGTTAATTTATAGACTAATAATTGTGTCTATACTGTTATCGTTAATAATTAGCTTTCTAGCAGTGAAATTGAAGGAGAACTAGTGTCAAGAACAACCAATTCGCCTGATTGCAGTTGACAGAAGACTGACTAAGTGGAGAATATCAGAACTGCCCAGAACTATTTTAACAAACACAACAGTATTATTTTCAAACGCCAAAATTCAAATAAATAATATTTCCAAATGTTGCAAGTCAGGTGCCAGATACTTAAATTCTATAAAGTTTAATTTTAGCAAAAAAGCTTCGTAATACAATGATCCAGATCAACCACCAAGTAATTATGGCTACCCAAGATTGTCAGGACAAAGATTAACAAATTTACAATCATTTTGTTTTCAAATGGAGTTTATTAAAATACATGTCCATGATTTGGTTAGAGATCAAAAGGCTATCAGTTCCCTGATGATTGACAAATCTATATCCGTTGGTTCATATTTTCGATTTCGTATAGTTTTTGATATAGAGCAGAGATCATCCAATTCAATTTGTGCCAAGTCTCTCACACCTGATGTAGTTTAATTTTGTTTTTAAAACGTCTTGAACATCACAAACTCATTTCTAAATTAGTTACTAATTAATATATGATTACAGTTTGTTTTGAAAGTTATGGAAGTTTTGTCTAATTTCCGTCACAGATTGACAACTGTTGAAGTATTATTTATCAGCAATAAAACCTCATATTTACCTAGATAACCAATGTGCTTGAGTCAGTTAATCAGAACGATTATCTAATAACAGTGTTTTACTGAACGAACAGAAAATTGTCATAAAAGAAAACAGAATTATTTTTAACTTCTTATTTATGAAGTACAACTCAGAAACAATAAGAAGTTTCAGTTAATATAAAGAGCCAATATTGAACATAACAATATCGAACTATTTTGTGTTAGTTTCTGTGTTTCATAGAATGAAACGTTGTCAAACTCATAAAATAACATTATTTCTAAGACTTAATACAATGCAATAAAATGATGTTGTGGTGTGCACTCCTTATGCGGACAGACATAAGTACTATATAGCAGGAATTGGGAGTGGAATGCTTACCAGCAGGATATTATGTACAGAGAAGAGGAAGGAAAACAGCTAGCAAACGGAATAACAAGAGAATTAGAAGAATGATGAAGTATGTAAAGGACAACTGAAAGATGTGTAGATGATATATGTAATGTTTGATTTTCATAATTTACAAAGGCGCTGTGTAATTTTGCATTAAAATATAAATTGGTTTACATCATCAAGTCTTTATTCTCTACAAAATGAATTACAAGGCTACAGTTAGTGTTTTTTGAAGCCTAAAATATTTAAATGGAATATGCGGAATAGCCACTGCATTTGTAATTATTTTAAATAATTGAATTCCAATGTAAAAACTGATTAATGATATACATATTTTCAATGAAAATGATGTAGTACAATTATTTCACATTTTTCAACGCTACTCGATTTATTGTATAATTTCAATTGAGACCATGAACTAATCAATGTTAAACCACCAACGAAAACGTGAAAGCACTAGATGATCGTTTTGTCTTAGTATAGGACTCCTCAACAATGTGTATTCGTACTAGAACAAAACAGCCATTTAGAGCTTCCAGGTTTTCAATGGTGACTTAACATTGATCGGTTCATGATCTCAATTAAAACTCAACAATCTCCACAATCCCATAGTGATAATATAATATTTGTCGCATCCCAATCACCGAATAGACAATTGATAGATATTTGATTTGCAATCTATAAATAACTTCAAGTTCATTCTGAACTCTACACCGAACTATTATGAAACTCTTTGTTCAAGTTCAAATGAAAATCTTTACAAAGTTCCACTTTACGTGGTACTATAATTTCCTCCTTTAAAACCTTCTTTTTTACAATATCTATCCTATTTTTTCTATTTTTAGGTTAGTTTCATTGATTTTGTGTGTCACCCATTATGGGAAACATGGTGTGATCTAGTACACCCCTGTGCTCAGTTAATTTTAGATACATTAGAAGATAATCGTGACTGGTATGAATGTCATATAAAAGAATCCAAAATAAAAGTTACTCAATTAGCTCGACCAAAATTAGCTACTGCCGCAGAAGATGATGAAGAAATTTCTACAACTTCAGGAAATACATAAGTTTTATTAGTCAATAATTATTGAGAAAAAGATGAGCGGGAAGGGGGCAGATGAAATTAAATATAGGATGGCAAATAATATACAAAAATAATGTAAATATTCAGATAATATGTCTTTTAACAATCTACATTACACTAATATCCACCCAACCAAAATGAAATAAGGATAATTGTCAAATATATTTATTGATAATAAATATTTTTTACATTAGAAAAATAATAAACGATAATCAATCAAAATATCATTAACTTTCTAATGTAGGAACCATTCATATGATTATAATTGTTATTGATTTTGACGAACAGACGAATGAAAAACAAAGAAGTGTTTTATTGATTATTCAATTATGTCGTATAATATATTTTCATCTCTTTGATTTTCCTGATATTATCTAACTATTTATTCATGCATTCATTCATTCACTTATCTATTTTACCTTTATTTATGGATATATATATATATATATATTAAACAAGATACTTAAATGATTCAATAACGTTTAATACATTTATGAATTCAGTTACTTTTGTGAACTAAGAAACGTAAATAATAAAAAAATGAAAGATACTTTACATGTGCAAAAATTCTACCCATTGAAAAGAAAAATACAGCATCTATTTTATTTTCTAATTTCAGCAAATGATTTCTCTCATTTTTGTACTTCTTAAACTAAACAGTTTGTGTTTCTACAAATTTATACAGGAGACAGAAATAAATAAAATGTGCACTGAAATCTAGAAAGCATTTCATTTTAAAACAGATATGGTGGACATGTTCTTAACTGCCTAATCTATTTGCCCCGTCATTCCCTTCCATACTTACATTTCATTTATCAGTATGGTTATTTTATTCATTCATGTTTGTTTGTTTGTTAAAGATTTTCTGTTGCCTTTTTATGCTTTATTTTTTCTTAACAAAACACACGTACATTAAACATTGAAATGATATTTTCTTTCTCTATCAAATAAAGTTTGAAATTAAAATTAATTAAATCCATAATCAGAAATGTCGAATAACTACATCTGAAAACTATTGATCCTAATAAATAATACTGAGAAGCTCGGTGATATGGAGCTTTTTATTATTTTATTTTGATCTTCACTAATTATCCCTATAAATTATCTATCGGCAATATGAAAATTAAAGACTGAAATGATCGCTTAAAAGGTATATTCATTAAATTATCTGATCAATTAAAGTTATTATATTTCCATCAAAGTTCTCATCAACGTTTTCTCCATCTTTCAACTGTCATAGCGCCTACTGCCTTGTGTATATTTGTTAATATGTTTATGTGATCGTTTCTTTCAAAATGTTCAGAAAATTGTTTTTCACATACGCTGATAGTCACAACCTAATATATAATGGATTATATAATGGTGTCTCTTTTACAGTCATGTTTTTTAAAGTATATATAAATGTATATGTATGTATATGATGTAATCTATCTACCAATCATCTTATAGATGACTTGCATATCGATCCTCTTTAAAGGCTAATTTAAAATACCGATCGATAATTATGTGAAAACGTAAATTGTATGTAGTTATCTTGCTAAATGAACCGCCAGAATATTCTGTACTTTAAACATAAATAATTATCAAGATAATCTGTATGGATTCTAGACAACTGATCGCTTTTTTCCGATTCTCTGACCAAAAAAGAAAGAAAAAACATTATGATGCTTGAAAAATTTCTTTTGTATCCTTCATGATAAAATACTGCTTTGTATTTCATTTTTAAAATAACCGAAATGTGTTTCCCTCCCTCCCTCTCTTTGCATGAATGTGCCTGTTTCTTATAATCAGAAATATTATTATTGTCATTCATTCTGTTTTAATAAGATTTGATTGTTGGATCGATATTTTCATTGATAATCCATACATTGTGAAAATGCAAGCAAATAAAAATGGAGGGAAACAAATATTATTGATGATGACAACCATTCATTTGTATTTGCATGCAATAAAAGAATACTCATCAATATAATTCATCGTTTATTGTATGATGTTCATCCGTTCCTCTTCAAGGCAATAAACTTTATTAATTAAGTTAAAAATTAATAAATTGTTATATACAAATAAAGCAATTCAGTAGTACAGTCATTATAATGGTAGGTTAATATAAATATTATGGAATGTTTCATAAGATATGACTTATCAGGTTGAAAACAAGGATAAAACAGAGGTTTAGAGCATTATTAATTCACAATCAATATCGGTCGATGACGAAAATCTCTTTTCCTACTGAATTAATCTTCATAATCTAGATAAATCATTGTAGTCAATAGCGATTAGCTTTGGAAAGTGATAGACAAAATCCTAGTGATTTTAGACAAATCGTGGGGTGAAATAGTCATCTCTTATAACTTTGAAAAACAGTCTATGTTATGTTATGAATTACTTAATATGAAGAATATAAATCAATTAGTCCCAAGCATGTAGTTCAAAAGTAAATCACTGTCGAGGAAACTTGAAATCTTAAGTACAGTCTATGGTGGTATCATTATTATTTATCACTAAGTCTTGAAGCAGAACGGAGTGGCTGTATAGTGCTTCTTGGTTTTCAATTATTCTCTTATGAATATTAGTTTGAATAGCGTTCATCTTGATATCAAATATATTTGTACAATAAACACAACTACATGTTAAATAACTAAATATCTTGTAAAGCTAGTCAACACAAAGAAACCAAAACTTTTATTTAGGTAATGTCCGTAAATAATGAATTTACGTAAGTTCGTTCCATAGTTCGAATAAACACAGAATATAGATATTCGGGCTCCGTAATAAATAAAAGATTTATTCGATGAAAGAGTCGAAATTTTGTAATTTTCATTTGATGTATAATTAATTTTGTGTTCCTTATCCAAATTTTATTGGAGTTTTATTTATTTACTACAAACATGTTTACTATGAATTTAGGTTGATCTTGTGGAAATTCTCTAAAATTTAGAGGTACCTAAAGATTTATCTAGTGCAATAATGAACAAGTGTGTGCAGCTCTTAAGTATACTTAATTGTTTGTTGATCATAAAGAACAATATGCTTTGAGTTGGTGATGAACGTGTCTGACAAACAAGTTACAATAAATATTATGTGGTGGTTTTATTTCAAAAAGGAAAAATGTAATAAATGTTATCTAAACGAAATACCTTGTTACACTATGATGGGCTTATAAATGGAATTTAGCATTAGATGTATATTTTAAACAGAATCATACATTTTTGAACATCATGAAGTGAATCACAATTTCAAACAATGCGATTAGTGATGAAGTTGTTACCTAGACCAATACGTTTTATCAACCATTTACCATTAACAGTAATAATAACAAGCTCAATCTCTTGTATTGGACGCTTGCCCTTCTTATGATACCAAGATAGACCTTAAGACCCGCGGGGTCACGGTTCATCACGAAAGCGCATCCCCGTGATGGGTTTGTGAGCCCTGAAAACACGAAATCCATCCCAAAAAGGCCCACATAAGCCTCCTTAGAAAAGTCTTTACCAACTAATCTGATTAGAACAACACCACCACCACACCACGCCAGTGATTGGTATCAGTTTCACAATATCGTTATTTAACTTGAGTTGGAACAGCAACCCTCAAATCATCAACCTCAAGGTTAAGGGTTTGCTGCAGGACATAATGGTCGTAAACTCAGTCATTGGAGGCGCCATGACTATTTGCTGTTAAGAAATGGCACAAATGGAGGAGATCATTTTCTATCATCCTCGGCTGATGTTCAAGAGACTTAAATAACAATAATTCTTGATGAATGCGACTTTCGAATGTAAATAATTAAGACTAACTCCTCCACAAATACATTTATTTATTCAGCTTATAAATTGCTACCATTGATCCAAACCCATTTCAACATTCGTACTCTTTTTGACAGAAAATGTCTTCTCAATGTTGTTGTTGAACTGATGTCTTAGTGTTTTCAGTATAAATGATCGTACGGGTTTAATAGTTAAATTCATGAAACAATTGATGCTAGACCACCATGGAAAACCTGGAAGCACTAGACGGCTTTTTCGTCCTACTATGGGACTTCTCAGGAGTGCGCATCCACGATCCTGCCTCGCTAGATTCAAATCCAGGACCTATAAGTCTCGCGCTTAACCACCACGCTACCTAGTCAGCACAATCAGGTGGTGATCGACATTGATGTGACACGCTATTTCACCCGTTTTGTAAGAGAACATGAAAACATTTATCGGATAAAACGAAATATTATTACCAATAAGGATACATATATAGATATTCACTTGATATTTTAAATATTTTTTCCTTAAAATTTATAACTGTAAGGTAATTTAAAGCTATTTCTATTGATCTCTCTTTTTAATAAGCTTTCTAGTTACTCACTTAAAACTTGACTTCTATACATCAGATTTATGAGATATTAGTTAGAATATTCCAACGACTTTGTTTGATTGTTCATTTCCGGCTTTTAATATCATACAATGAAAAAGCTTTAATTATGTTTATGGAAAAATATTTTTGGACTAATTCAGTATATATATATTAATCACTGAGTAGTGACTAATGTCATAGTTTTCTAGTCTTTTTAAGTCCTACTAAAATTCGAATGATAACGTTGATATGCGGTTACTAATCTAAGTGAATTAATATTTTATGAGCTGTGTTGAAATGTAAGATGACTGAAGGTGGTCCATAGGAATTCCTGAACACATTCTAGTTGGGATGTATTTATTATCTTGAGAGAACTGGTTCTCCCTAGGAACTTCAAACCCGCAAAATTCAGTTTCACAGTGATAATCTACCACTGTATGTTTCTATAATCCACTGACTCCCCATAAAACTGAGATATCTACCATTGATTAGTCACTGAATAGTAATCGATGTCATATCTCTAAGTGTTTGTCGAATTCTGTTGATTAAGTTGAAATACATACATATTGCATAGATTAGTTTAATATAATCAGACCAATTTTTATGGATAATTTTAAATTAACTTTTATATCTGAAAGACTACAGCTAATAATTTCTACTCTAGATGGTGGTTGGAGGTAGTCGACAGGACACCCTGGACCCGGCTTTCGTGCTACTTAGCACTTGTCAGCAAGGTGTACCTGTAATCTTAAGGGAACTGGTGCTCCCTGACGGATTCGATCCCGAGTCACCTGGACTTGTGGCCACATTGCAACTTGGTCGATATCATTCTATCTGTACTAATAAGGACTTGACACACATGACATTGATCACCACCCAGTGGTCAATCAATTGTGAATTTCTACTTTATCCTTGTGTGATTTGTTTTTGTCGACAACGGGAATCTTTATGATTTGGTGTGATTTTTCTGGAACATTATATCTTCGATGTTTCAGGTACATTAGAAGCATTGAAAAAATAATTAGTTTCATCTTATTCGATGAATATTGTTCTTAGCTTGTTAAAAATACACGAAGTTTATTATAGTGAATTTATTAGGTTAAATAATTTTTAAGACAACTAGATGAAATTAATAATGAATATATACTGGAAGAATGATAGAGTACTTATTTTGTAACTTAATAGTTTTAAATTTCATTTTGTATAAGACATCGATTATTATACCTTCATAGTCGACCAGCATATAATGGCCGAATTGTCATGTTGCTGAAATTCATCAAAACCGTCCTACTTAGCTAAATTTCTTCACTACTTTGGTAATAATTCGTTTGCATGTAACACTTTCACCGAAAAATCACTGAAACTGCGATCATGGTAAAACGATCAAGTGGTTTGATATATCTTTACTTGTATCGATGTGAGCGAAATAAGTATCTCCAAAATTCTGAATCAGTCCTAAGCCTAGGAAAAGGTGAAGGTAGGGCATGGAGATAGTAACAACAGTCAGAAGAAAACAACACATCTAAAAAAAACTAACCATAAAATATCATTTAAACCATTTGAACTCTGTCATAGTAGTCAAGCTATCTTCATTTAAAAGAACTATGAAGCTACATGATAAAATCCGAGATTTTTCGATTATCACTAGACCGATGCCGATTCCGACAACCAAAATAACAATTAATATAGGTAATTGGAATATCGGCACAATGTGGGAGAATGGAAGGACCAATCAAATAACTACGGAAATAAGGAAATACAACCTGACGGTAAATGGAATAAGTGAAATAGATTGGATACAAATTGGACTTCAAATGTTAGATTCGAAATGAGTGGTGTTGTACTCTGGTCATAAGGAAGAAAATCCTACGCATACACAGGAAACTGAACTGATGATATCCGACGAAGCATGTAAAGCACTTATAGGATGGGAGTCTCATGAACCCACAATCATCAAATCGTCATTCAAAACAGGGTAGGGGGAAATCACAATGAACTTTATCCGTTGTTAAACACTCAACAATGAAAGCAATGATGATGATAAATATCAGTTAGATGAGAAACTGAATTAGATTGGAGAGAAACGTTTGGAAAAGAAACTGATAATCCAAATGGTTGGTATAGACAACACTGGGTATGAAGATATTATGGAGCGACATGGACTGAGAGATAGAAACGAGAATGGTGAAGGACTAGCAAATTTATTTGCCTTCAACACAATGGTTATAGGTGCCACGTTATTCTCTCACAAAGCTACATGGGTTTTACCGGATCACGCTACAGAGAACTAGGTCGATCATTTTTGCATCGCTGAAGAATTCAGGTCAATGGCAGACGTGCAAACGAGGAGAGTATCTGACAAATCTTCAGATCGCCACTAGCTGGTGGCTGCCAAGATGAGACTGTAACTAAAGAAGCATTGAACATTTGGACAAACAACATTACAAAGTCTAATACGGCTCTTCTTCTAGGTACTGACGAACTAGACGGATTCAAGATAGCTCTCATCAATAACCAATTCTTACAAGATCTACTCGGAGAATAGGAAAGCACTATGGAGAATAACTGTAAATGTATCAAAGAAGAAGCACTGACTTCAACGTGTCAGTAGGTTCTGGAGAGCAAGAAGCATCATCATAAGGAATTAATTACAAAGCGGATATGTAAAAATCATGATCTCATTATTTAAAAATTATCGGGGATTTTAGATTCGGTTTCTCTAATCTTTTGGGTATGCAATTATTCATCAATCATACCAACTACTTCTTCAAATAAAATTAAATGAATCAAAACGAAAATAAATGTGTGAGTTATACTGAGTTTATACTTAATAAAACATGGCTGATAGTCTTAACTACTTATAAGTAGTCAACCTTATATAGTAGACATTTCGAGTTAGTGTCATAAGTACGAAAAAACGTTATTTCTGAAATCTCATCAACAATGATCCAGAAGAAACATGAACAAGATAAAATTAGACCAATATGTGAATAAAAATTCCGGTCACTTAGGCAGAGTTTAAATAGAAAAGTAAACCTTGTAGTTTGTCTTGGTTAACGTTTACTTTCAAGAATATTGGTGGATTCATGATCACAATGAAATTCAATAATCTCCACAACTGTGTACTGATAAATATCAAGGTCTCTGAATGTGGTAGAGGTGATAATGAATAATTATCAGATAACAGCTATCCTGATGTTTTGTTGTTCAATTCTGTTTACATGTACTGGTCAAACCTCGGTGATCAGGTGGATTGATAATGATTGAAATATTCAAATCACAAAGAACAGGAAACTCAAATCTCACGAAAACATTGAACGTAAATGTTACTGATAGGGAGGTATTTAATCAGTGGAAACTAATGTATTCAATGTATCCTTATTCATATGAACTGGCAAAAATCTCAAGACAAGGATTCTTTTACATTGAATTTAATCACATATTGGTTGCCCATATTTAGTCTCTTCGGCTGGCTGTAAAAAATTTCGAAAGCTGTTCGAAACCACCTGAGTTAGTACTTTCTGAAAGATTTATTTAATTTGAAAGACTATTCGATTGATATTAACATCAAGAATAAAATAGTGAATTCTTCTAATGTAATGCATGTGTGTACAAATGTACTTTTACAGAAGACCGTTAATAGTCTGTGTCACTATATCTCATTGAATAATCTTTCATTAACTCATTCTCTCAAAAATCTTGAAGATTAACAGCTTTTATTATGTGTTGACGATGTGCAGTTAATTTTTTAGGCTTGTAATTTCGATAGACTAACGACCTGCCTATAGGTAGTCGTTTAGAATTATTACTAGTTGATGTTTTTTCAAGTTAAATATTACAGATGTAGCTGAAACTAGTTTGAAAATACATATCGGTAAATTAATTTGTCTGAAAGTTAGAATATGTTTTCATATTAACCTTACTTCAACACTAAAATCAAAGTCAGTTTACAAGATGTTTATGTAATGAATAGGAATTATACAATTCTGTCAGAAATAACAACAGAATAGTAAAAACAAATATGTCGACTAGTCGATTAGAGTAACTGATTCAATTCAACTATTGATCTTTATTATTAAGAAAACTTCAATAATACTATAAATCACTGGTAAATACTAAAAGCTATTTCTCCAATATTAAAGCTATACAAAGATACTACTATAAGAGATGGAACATTATGAAATGACTGTAAAATATCAAAGTGTCTAGACTAATTATATTCTTCATCAGAATCTACAAACAGATAGTGATGGAGTGTAATGCATTCATCATAATTTTATGATTTTTTTAAAATAAGAATGTCAACATTCTTCTTATCAGACGGTGAGATAAATTACCTTTTGATTTAAACACATACAGATATACTGACCTGATCCATTACTATTTAAATCTCTCAGTTACGTTTAATTATCACTAAGTCTATACCAATAATTAGGAACAGAGATGTCAAAATCCAATTGTTCAAAATATATATCTGTGGTTGAATGTAAAATTTATAAAATATACACGTAATTTAACACATATGTCACTGACAAACTGGAAAGAAGGACACTTCAACAAGATACCAAAGAAAAAAGATTTGAGCAGATGTGAGAACTACAGAAGAATCATATTAATATCGGTACCGGGAATAGTTTTCAACAGAGTGTTGCTGAACCGGATGAAAGTAGACTCTCAACTTCGATTTCAACAAACCGGATGCCATAAGAATCGGTTGTTCACAGACCAAATAGCAACACTAAACATCATTGTTGAAAATCATTTGAATGGAACACTCCACTATACATCAACTTCATTGATTACAATAAAGCATTCGACAGTGTGGATAGAAGGACTTTAAAGAAACTTCTTCGACACTATGGTATGCCTGGGAAGGTCGTTAAAATCATACGGAATTCATGCAACTGACTAAAGCACAGAGTATTACAAGGAGGACAGATACATTCTAAGTGAGGACCGGTGTCAGACAAGGTTGTCTACTTTCACCCTTTCTCTTTCTTCTAGTGGTTGACCAGATTATGAAGACCTCGATATTTGAGGAGCAGCATGGAATACAATGAACATATTTTAAGCAACTTGATGATTTGGACTTCACAAACAAATGCAGATGAAGACAACTAGTATAGCAGCAGCCTTCGTACCAGTAGGCCCCAACATACACAAAGGAAAAACCAATATCCACAAGTACACCAAACTAATCATACTTGATGGAGAGGCTCTGGAAGAGGTGTAATCATTCACGTACCTGGTTAGCATCCTCGATGAACAAGAACGATCTGATGCGGACGTTTAGGCAAAGATCGGCAAAGCAAGAGCAGTATTCCTTCAGTTGAAGAACATATGAAAGTCAACACAACTGTCAGCCAGCATCGACCCCAGAATCCTCAATACGAACGTCAAGACAGTCCTTCTGTACGGAGCTGAAAGTTGGAAAACTACTACAACCATCATCGAAAACGTACAATCATTTATAAACAATTGTCTACACAAGATACTGAATGTCCGTTGACCGGATGCCATCAGCAACAGCCTACTGGGGCAGAAAAAAAACCAAATTCCAGCTGAAGAGGAAACTAAGAAAAGGTGCTGGGGGGAGGCAAGCCCTAACTCGGAATCCCGAAGAGAAACGGGGAATAGGAAGACCGTGAAAAAAATTGTGTTGGGAATTGGAAGCAGACATCAATAAAATGAATAACAACTGGGAGGGAATAACAGAGTTCGATGGAGAATGTTGATGAGTGACCTGTGCTCCTCTACGAGGGGTAACAGTCGTAAGTAAGTAAACAAGTATGTAGGAAGTGAAGAAAAAGAAAATTAGAGAGCAATAAGCAGAAGTTAAAACAATAACCTTGATAGGCAAGTCGTGATGCAAATGCCAAGTTGATTTATGATCTACTGATTGTGATAGATAATGTTAAAATTGATCCAATCTATCAGGAACGGTGCAAGTATGAAATATCTACAGTAATGGAAGTTTACTGGGTACGCTCAGCGATAATAATGACTAGACATTTAGGGTCCTTATAATTTCACTAGTAGAATGGGATATATTTGAAGGTTGAGAAATGTTTAAAACAGTATGAGAAGAGAGGTAAACATTGTAACAACGAATAAATGATGGTAATGACTTAATTTCACGGAGAGATTGCAGCATGTCATTCCAGGGTCTCGAACATTTACTAGTAACGAATCCAAATAGAGAGAAGATTTATTAACAGACTTTTTGCCAATAAAAAACAGTTACTGATGTCTTAACTATAAGATAGTATCAGTGGATTTAAAATATAGTTTACTAAGTATTATAAAGAAACAAATTAAATTAAGTTTAATTTTCCGCTTCTATAGAGGGTCATTTTTAAGCTTATTACATCTGGATTTGTAGTTTAAGGTACAGTTGTTTTCTAGAATGCGAAGTATAATTTATCACTGAACAGATTCCAATTTTAGCTTATCGTTTATGTTTATACCATCAAGAATAAAATTGCAATGTTCGAATAGTGTTCAAGCCCATACTTTGTGCATTAAAATAAGTGAATTACTTCTTATAGAGGTCACTGAGTCTTGGACGTTTATTTACAGAACTGTTCTGAGATGGACAAATTATGGGAATACCTAAGTTTTGAGTCCGTCATTATATAAATCATTATTTTTATGGTTGGTTATAGGTATCAGTCTTATTTGTAAATAACTTGAGCCTGAGGATTTCAATCATGTCTAATGTTAAAAAATTATCAACATCAAGCTGTATTGTCAGTCAGTTAAACTTGGAAATATATAACAACCAATTCAAACGCAGGGATTTTCAAGAAATTGTCCTTAAATGAAGATATGAGCATTGCCGGTTAAGTATACTCACTACTGACCAGCACCATGGCATCGAAAAACAAATGTGTAGTGCTCCATAAATTCCAATAGTTAACCTATCACCAAACTATGTCAACACATCATGATTAACACATTGAAATCGAAATCAACTCAACAATCAACCGACATAAACAACAGTCATAACTGAAAAGTAGGTCAATTAAATTCCCAACAAGTGATATTGCTAATTAACACTAACAAATATGTTAATTTATTCAATGTTAAGTCCTACTAAGTAAATTGTGGCAAAGTTCATCTTATCTTAATCGATCACAGTGGTAATGGACCTATTTCCTTTCACCACCGTCAACATCATTGTCAGTTTTCATGCTCCGATCTGCAAAATACCATTGGTCATCTCATTTCAAAATGAGTTAAACTTGTTCTTAAATAAAGGGAAATGATGTTACATTAAAAATAAACAACCAATCGCTTGTATAAATGCATATGAATAATTGATAGTCAATAGTTGGATGAGAGATGAAAGCTGGATAATCTGGATATCATTTCAAGTAACTTATTAAAATCATGTATTCAGTTCTTATAGAACTAATCATTCGATAACATATAGATAAAAGATTAATCGTGACATAATTTTCTGGTGTGCGCAATTATATCATAAAACAATATAAAAAAAGCTTTTCTTTTTTTTATGTATTCTTTTCATTCGATTTAGTATGAACCGGAGTAAAATATTGGCTTTATCATTGATTACAATCATTATAATGTATATTTTATTCATAAGGAATAGATACCGACTGGATATTACTTTTGGTGATGAGGAGCTTAACTATGACTATGCTGATGATGAAGAGATAATTTGGAAATTACGAAACACACAGTTTGATTTTATTATAGGTAAGTGATTCAGGATGTTATTGACGACTTTGTTGTATAGGTTAAATAAACTAAGAATAATTCTCGTCAAATCATTATTCTCACAATTGAAATCACCATCCGATCTATGCTAGGCCATCATTGAAAACCGGGAAGCACTGGACGCCGTTTCATCCTAGTGTCTAATTTCAATCAATCCTTGACCTTTCACAGCCCTTCTTTATTCATTAATGATTAACAGCAGCTGAGAAAGAGCTTAGCGCCTTAATTTCTTGAATAAATAAATGTAACTGACATTTGAATATAAACCATTGAAACAATTAGTCCCTTTTATAAACTCCATTTTCTCATAGGTCTATCGAAATTTATAAACTATTGGTTTACTGAAGGATGTTCAAACAGCTGAAACTGACAAAACCACTCGATATCTTGATTTTCCACGTCAAAAGTTTCCCATGGAAGATATACTTTATTTATCATGAGACCAAATGTACTTTCTTCCTAATCATTCATGTTTAATCTATCACTGGTTTTAAAAAGTGTTTCAATTGTACTTATATGAATTTGTCGGGTGTTTAAATCAACCTAACACTTTACCTCCCAGTAGACATTTAGAGCAAGATTTGTTATTTTGTCAATTTAGGTTATATCTAGTAACGTAGACTTCACATCATGGATTTTACCGTCATGTAGACAACGCATCTACCTTGGTAAATTTTCTGCATTAAAACTGATAAACTTGCGTCCCAATTGATCAAATAGAAAACTAGGTTATAAAAAATATGATCTTCAAAAAAATTTTATCGTCGTTAATTTCAGTTGACTACTAAAAAACATGAAAAATTCAATGATATATTTTACTGATATTTATTACAGTTAGTATGTGTACTGTTTTGTGACAATTCAAGATCTAACTGCAATTTATCAGTTTTGTTTAGCCATTGGACAAGCAAAAGTATGATTCTTATACTCGGAGGTTAGGTACTTCCTATTTAATAAAAATTTATAAACAACCTATGCAGAGTTCATTAGAGCTATCCACACATTAAATTTTTCATTTCGTCGACTATTAAACCTCCCTTTTATTGAGTTTTGTGAGTTGGTTATGATCTTATCTCTAGTCATAGGCGGAACAAACATATAACGAGTAGTAGTATATCATCATCTAATCAAATGAAACACACAATTTCGTTTTATTACTATCATTTTGACTTGTAAAGTAGATGAGATTTCATCATTTTCCTAAATCTGTCAACTTATATTGCCTCTTACCACACAATGTTGGCTTCTTTTAGATAAATAATGTTAATAATACGCTATGCTTGTTATTATTAATATTATAGTCACTTATTTCTCAGTTTTTGATACATAATGTTCATGTTTATGATAAATGTAGTAGGCACGATAGAAAAAAAGTAAACCATATAATGTTTAAAATTGTTATTGATTCATTTAGTTGGAGGCGGTACGGCAGGTTCAATTATTGTTCGAAAATTATGGGATGGATTTCAAAAAATGCAATGTAAATCTTTAGAGCAAGCCAAATCATGCTCATCAGAAGGAGTGACTAAGAATCATAAATTATACAGTATTAGTGATGATGTGAATATATGTAAAATTAGTTGCTCCAATTATCGACCAAAAATTTTGTTACTCGAATCTGGATCCGAAATCAGTTGGTTAACGAAGAAGATTAGTGATATACCCCTTCTTGCTCCATTATTGTATGGACGAGGAATTGATGTTATTGAACAAACTACGCCCCAAATATCATCAGCCTTAAAGTTAAAAGAAAAAGTAATTTACTTGACAAAGTTTTGATTTCTCTCTATCTTTTTTGTCTACATATATATTCTGTATTTAATTTATCGGCCCAACTGCTAAATATTTTATCATATTTGTTTGATCAGATAGAAATTAAGAGATTTTACGAGTATTTCAATTTGCTATAGTTTTGTTTTATAATAAAGTAGTTGGAATATTTTGGAGATTCCCTTCATCCTGAATTGACTGAATGTTGTGGTTTTATTTTAAAATTTTCAGACAAATATGGCAGTCGTATTATTTATACTGAGTACACACGGAGCATATAAATACCTTAGAGCAAAAGGTGATACATACCGGGTTCGAGTCACGTTGTAATCAACAACACTGAGTTGTAGGTATACCCAGCTGATGAATTCCAGACAGGATGAAACATACGTTCTGAATTCCATTCCTAGACTAATTTCGAAAATAAACTGTACTTGTTATCAATATTAAAGTATTTTCTCAACCAGCCCATAGGCTGACGAGGTTGATCATATTCAATCGACTAAACATTATTTTTCATATTTCAATTCCTTCTGATTTTGTTATGAACAAGGTAAATATTTTTTCGTGTCAATTCTTGAGAGCTACTTTGACCTACGGCTGTCTTCCTTAACATCTTTCACTGGTTAGATTAGAGAATAAATTTCCCTATCCTTTCTAAGTACATATACATTTGCATTTTGTAAAATCGATAGTTGTTTATTTCAATAAATCGTCACTGCTGAGGAGTCCCATAATAGGACGAAACGGCTGTCCAGTGCTTCTAAGTTTTCTACGGCGGTCTAGCTTCACTTGACTCATGATCTCAACTATCGAACTAATTGATGACGTTTTGGTGTCGCAGTCAGTGAGACTACTAGTAAACAATTTATATCAAGACTTAATATTTTGACTAAAATCACAAACCAATATAAGTCATGCAGTCACCGAAAAACTGGAAGCACTGACCAGCCGTTTTATCCTAGTACAGGATTCCTCAGTAGTAAGTACCCACTAAACTCCCACCGGAAATCAAACTTAAAACCTTCAGTAACCTGAGCAAAAGCTTAACCACTAGAATACAGAGCTAAGACTCGATAGCGTACAAGTCTAACTTTGATCAATGCACAATACTTAACAAGTTCCCAAGAACTGAATACATGGTTTTAATAAGTTACTTGAAATGATATCCAGATTATCCAGCTTTCATCTCTCATCCAACTATTGACTATCAATTATTCATATGCATTTATACAAGCGATTGGTTGTTTATTTTTAATGTAACATCATTTCCCTTTATTTAAGAACAAGTTTAACTCATTTTTAAATGAGATGACCAATGGTATTTTGCAGATCGGAGCATGAAAACTGACGATAATGATGATAATATCTGTTAGTAGTAATTAGCGATAATACGTATTGGAAATTTAAATGACCTGATTTTTAATTATGACTATTGTGTTGGTTGATTGTTGAGATGATTTCGACTTCGGTGTGTTAATCTTGATGAGTTGAGATTAGTTGATGATAGGATAACTATTGGAATTTATGGAGCATTATTCATCTATTTTGTGGTGACGCCACTGACTTTAGCAGTGCTTATTTCTTAATCATAACAGGATCAAAATTTCTACATATCGAGTAGCTTAATAAATCTTCTTAATTGTGATTGTGTTTGTTATGAGATTCATAAAATCTTATGCAAATTGGTATCATTTAGATTATCAGCTACATCGCACACTACATATGAGATCGTCACAATCAAAAGAGCAATGGCATTGCAATCACGTTATGAGCGATTCATAGAAATAAAACTTGTATTTTCTCAACATTTGTTCTAATTATAACGAGTGACTAAAGATTTGCTCTGTTTATCGTAAAATTGTACAGGTGATTCTTTTACCTCGCGGACATGTTTTGGGCGGTAGTGCACTACTTAATGCGATGATATTCTCTTATGGTCATCCAGATGATGAATTATTGAAAGAATTTCTACATAGCAATGAAGAATTCCTCTCTGAATTATTTGATAAAATGGAAGGTTTGTCTTATATTTTTCTTCTCGCATAGTAATAATAATAATAAATTATAATGTAAATTAAATGTAAAACACAAGGTACAATTTAATAAACAAAATAATTATATAAGCTAATATCATGGTAAAGAAAATGATCTAGCGAATCCCTTTTACACGCACAACTTAGGTTTAAAATTTTGAATGACCGAATCTATCAGAATACAAAGTTGGTTGAGAGGTTCGC